TTGTTGTTTGTCCTTTCCAAGATTTTGGTGTTCGTATGTCCAAAGGGCTGAAGAAGGAAGATGGGGAACAAAAGAGATCGATGGTGGGGAGCCGCTGGATGTTGTCTTGATATAGGAACAAAAATGATCATCTCTGCAAGAACTTGTGTTCCATTATAGATAGCACGCCCTTTCAATTGTCAACTGTTTTGCTGATGGGTGATTTTGATAAGCTCTATTATCACGTATGGGTATCTTTGCCATTGATTAGAATCCGTTACATAACCTTATAATTGATAAGTTTTACAATGGGAGTGTTCCCCGCGATGAGCCAGCTAGCGGTTCGGCTCGGTACTTCGAACGGTCTGTCTAAGTTTGTCTGTCCACTTGTCCACTAATATCGGAACCTCGAGCCTATCACCATTGTCCCTTATCTTCAAGCTCCGAGTCGAGACTTTTTGTTCGCGCGATGAAGCTCCAATTTATTGATTTACATTACAAACCGTTACACATGTAAACTCAGAGCCATGCTCTGCTATGTATGTTATGATTGTGAGATGAAAGGTGTCGGCAAAATACAGAGTCAACTCAAATCAGCTCACGTTACCGGAAATAAAACGGTGGTGAATATCATTCGATTCCATGAATTGAGTTCAGCTCATCCGAAGTACCTGTACGGAGTAGACATAACGCCATGTCTTATGTGAATCGAGCTCGACCTCGAGATATCATAAATTCCCCCCTTCTTGGCGCACGACGCCACGACGCTCCCTGCCGCTGTGTTCTTTCACAGGCTTAAGGATGTCGAACCCGACACAAGCTAACAATTAGATATTTTTAGCTCACAATAAGATGGATCAAGGTATCAAAATTCTGTATATTGCACTCCTGCCCCCTTACGCTTTACCTACAAAACACCCCAGCCCACACGCCATATAGAAAAAAGAGGTAATCAAAGCAGACTTTCTGGGAATCGATTCTTCGGATCAAAGTAACAAGAGAGGACTGTAAAAAGAAAATAAAAAGCTTTCGCACGTCCACCCGTTTCTCTGCTTCCCCCCGTTCCCACAAACCTCAAAATCCCTCCCCAGGAAATCGACTGAGAAAATCAATACTCCAAATTCTGTCCAGAACATATAATCTCCCTCGATGTGGAAATGTTGTATCATCCCTTGAGTCTATTCGCTTCTCTTTCCCTAGAGATTTCCTAGCCGTTTCAAGATGATGCATCATTACCCCCGTTTCTGAATTGAAGATGCAAGAAGATGTCGATTCTTGACTAGTCCGGTGATGTGTGAATATGTAACGTAACTTTCGATTCCCTCCACGGTAATAAAACACCAGGATGTTCCGAACTTATGTAATGGCTCGAAGAGGATATGGACAATGAGATATGAAAGAATAATTGGGAGAGGTGGCGGTGAAGAGCGGTACGAAAGAAGGTGAGGTAGAAAGTTAATTGTTTGGTCTATGTAAAACAACTGAATTAAAGAATTAAACATTTATGTTGTTTCTTCTTTGGCGCAGGAGGTTCTAATGCCGCAACAATTGCCTACTCATAATTAGCATTTTCCCTCTTCTCATGAATACCTCGGTAGAAGGTGTGCCGCATCCCAGAATCAAGAGATACATACTTCATCGAAAACATCCTTCAGTTTGTATTGAGTCAGAGCACTGCACTCGACGTACTTGACAGCCCCCAAGTCCTTAGCCATCCTCTCACCATCACTCTTTTCGACCGGCTTCATCTTTTGTTTTGTAAGCTTTTCCTTGACACTGGGATCGTCTCTTAAATCGGTTTGTGTACCAACGATTAAACAAGGTACGCCGGGGCAATGATGGTGAACTTCTGGGAACCATTTCTCTCGTACGTTCTCGAATGATGCGGGCGAGGTTACCGAAAAGCAAACGAGGAAGACATCGGTTTGTGGATACGAAAGGGGTCGAAGTCTGTCATAATCTTCTTGTCCGGCAGTATCAAATAGGCCGAGTGTATATGGTTCATCACCGATCCTAATAAATTCATGATCAGAACAATATCCTGTCGTTGTATATGTATTGAAGAGATGGCAGAAATGAAATTGAGAAATGACGGTGTAAATCAAACTCACATAACTGTGACGGCATAGTTATCGAAGACTGTAGGAACGTATTCGGAAGGGAATTTATTCGTAGTGTAGGATATAAGTAAACAAGTCTTTCCGACAGCACCGTCACCGACGACGACACATCTACAGATCGATATTGTGTGTTAGCTATGATTGAAGTCATTGAAATAAGGTAATTCTCCGAGATCATTATTCAATCCATGCCACAACAGCGGCTTCATCATGATCATCAACCCCCCAATGAAGCTACGTAATTGTCCAAGAGAAAGACAACGGAGAGGAATAAGGAATTATGAAGGAGATACGAACTTTATCGTTGCGACAACCATTGTTCCGTTCTGCCTGGAGACAACAATAACCCGTTCTTGAATATCTGGGGGAAAATCGTTCTTTCAAATCCACTTTCTTCAGTGATCAATTCAATAAGTGTCAGAAGATGTTCGATGGTTGTATCGAGATGCGCTCGGTCTGTAGGAATTGATTGTATGCAAAATGACGTTCGATAAGAGTGGTGGTGATATTTGATTGAGAGAGGATGATTGAATGTGATGTGTGCGAAATGAAAGATTTGAAAGATTGAATTAAATTGAATTGACTGAAAGTAGGGGTTGAGGTTGAATGAAATGCACGAGAACGAGTTGAATGAGATTGATCCAGGAAAGTAATAATGCATGCAATATGAGCAAACGATTTCCAATCTTTTTGATTATTCTGGAGGTCTGAATTATCAGGCAGAAAATTGACGAGACAAGACAAGACAAACTCGAGCGAGACAAGACAACAATGAGATGGGTGTGGGATGAGGATGGGATGGGATGGGATGGAAATGGGATGAGGCAGAGGAAGAGGAAGAGGATGAGGATGAGGATAATAATTGAAGTCCTTGTATCTTCTCCCCTTTCTTAGTAGGTAGGGACTCTTATTAGGTATTATTGTTATTGTTTTTGTTGTTGTTGTTATTATTACTATCATTATTGTCATTATCTACTATAGTTGTTGTATGGTTCGCGTATTTTAAAATTTTCTAATGAATGGCTTGATACTTCCCATAGGCAGATGGATTGAATGGTTTCGGCGATGCAAGTAGGGTATTTTGGTGGTTCGGAGGTTCGTGCTCCTGTTTGATTCACTACTTTGCCTGTATTCGAGAGTACGGAGTAGGTGCCGGTAGGTAGATGAAGGTAACGCTGTGTGGGTGTAGTTGTATTGTCCTGGCTTGATTCTTGTAACTGTCGAGACTGTGTAATATAATTGGTTTTCACACTTGACGGGCGACGGGGAAGTCGGAGCGTTGGAGAGGCAGCGACGGAATAAAAATTGGGTTTATCAACATCAAGGTTATTTTCGCAATGACTTTTTAACACGGTGAGTTAAAGGGATGGATGAATAAATGGGTATCTAGCTAGGGATGGTAGGTATCGGTGTGCTTTTTCCCTCTTGAATGCTGCCCTTGATTCTTGATCTTTGCTCTAGTTGCTGTTCCTGTTCCTGCTGCCGTCTCTTTTCCTTTCTCATCCAATTGGAAGAAAAGAAATGGGGAAAAAGTATCAAGCAATTTGATGCCATGAAATCTCCAAACTCCCCCCATGCAAACGGAAATTATTGACGACCTGCCGAAAATCAAACTTTAGCAGTTTGCTACTCCCCCAGCATTCAGCACATTATTACAATGGACCAGGTACTCAGCGCTTGTCAGGACTCAGGTAGGGCAAAACAAGCAAGGTGGATAAAGGAGGGAGGGAAAGAAAGGAAGGGCAAGCCTAGATTGAGGCAGACCATGCTGGCAAGGCAGGTAAGGGTCCGAAGCAGATAGATAGGGCGGGATGTCAGAGCGAAATATTGACTATCTACATATCAATGCGACAGAACCATGGATTGATTACCACCAATGCCCTTACACCTGCAACTAAGTTACAACCGTGTTAGGTTGATGATGAGTAGGTACCTAGGTAATAAGCCGTGGTGGAATAGGTAGTGAGCAAAAATAGATGGCATTCAACGTCTCGCGCTCTCTTTTCTAGTTTTCAATGCGCAGAGGGAAGAGGAAAATGTTTGATAGCAGCTAACAGCCTTATCAAAAACAAATTTCAACTCCAACGTTTCGCTTTAAATGCTCTCCTTTTCTAACAGGAGCGAAGCGAGACAGCCTCCACGGCAGTGGCCCAGCGGAGCGTTGTCAATCTCGAAAAAAGGCTTGATTGTGTATGGATTGAATGTGGTGAAGTTTAATTGTGGTGATAGATACTAGGTAGTGATGGAAGATTTTCAAACGTTCAACCAAGAAGATTATTCGTTCCTAGATAGTCGGAATTAAATAATATCATCATTCATGGCCAATCATCACCAATCATCATTTTCGGTGTCATGTTTCATAAAACACAACACAACACAGCACAACACATCATCAATATCTTCATTTCTTCCCCTTTTGACTTACTTTGCATTCCTGCCTCAGTACCCAGTAGGGACTCGAGTAGATAATTAATCAACCGGATTTCCTTATTAAGCAGTCTCCAATTAATTGCCTAGACGGGACTCTCCACCTTCCACGAGTTTTCCTCTCTTCTTCCATGATCCTTGATTAAATCCTTGACGAAATCCTAGTCGCTGGCTCGCTGGTGCTCCACTATGCAATTGAATTGTACAGACACGTGATAAAGTCCCTAGCAATTATTACCTTGTGAGCTTGTCTCCTTGTCTTGTACTGGTGGTCTTACATACTTCGTACAATACAGACTACTCCTCCGTACTAGCTAGGTAGCTAGCTATCATTCCCAAACTCCCTCGAGAATCATGTCATAACATTAAATTACAACAAACGACGCAACGCACAACGCACAGCACACGAATCACTGCGATATCTTAATCTTATCTTTGTCCCTTTCAGTGAAGCCACCACGCTCGGATTTCACCATGTCTATCTCTATCTCTACCGTTCAAGAACTTACCCTGGAAATTGATCATCTGTTGGAACAATACCTTCAACTTTTGGATCAATACAGTGCTCTAAGATCTAGGCTTTCCACATTGTCATCATCTGTCAGTTATAAATCTCTTCTTGCAAGTTTACATCGTTCAGTACATTCACCATACCTACCCCTTAATGATTGAACCCCTCACTCCTCTCACCCCTCATTTATCATTGGCACAGCCCCGTATCCTCTCTTCATTCCTAGGCGATGATCAGGAAATCTCGTTAACTAGGTACTCATACTAATACGAATGACAACAGATGTACATCAATCTATCCCGAGCCAATTTCACGCCGCAAAATGGAATCCGTTACGATACCTCTTTCTATGATGATCGTATTCAAACACAGAGGTTATGCAATGTAACGATCCCCGAAAACGCCTCGAATACACAATCGACAAAATTTACCCCTCCTCTCTTCGCCATCAACGAAACATCTACTTCGGAATCGGAATCGGACCTTTTAAACAAAGACACAAACGGCAATGGTGACACGAAAACTGCTCTCAAGAAGGATCCGTTAAGGATGTTTGGGCTTTTCACCCCTCAGGCTTTGAAGGATACAAAGGAAGATAGTATCAAGCTGATGGATGTCATTCCGAAATTGATCAATACCGAGAAAGCCATGGAAGATCTCGAAATTCGCATACGAAGAGCTAGGAAGTACAGAGGGAAGGCAGAAATGGAGGAACAAAAAGATCTACCAGCTGAGGCAAATCGCAAGTCCATCAATCCCATTTGAAATACAGTATGACAGTACAGTCCGACATCACCTACTCGGCGATCAGATAATACTGTACGTTTGTGGGACGGTAAAAGATGATGCGCAGTATACATATCCATTTCCATGCGCATTTGTTTGCAGGCAACGAATATGGAAATAACGGGACAAGTATAGATGCGAGAACCTGCTAGAAAATGGAGACGAAATATGCTGTGGTTGTGCTCGGGATGACATGCAGATTTTGTTGCAGTTGGCTTGGAAGACGGGATGAGAATTTAACTTCCTCTCATGAGCTGGTCGTACTCCATGATGGCCAGCCAATTGCGAATTATGAGTTCTCAGGGTTTCTTCGATTGTTCTTGATATTTGAGCAACTTTTCAATACTTTGCAAGCATTCAAGTTCTCTAATTGAAGATGGAAATGCCCTCGCCTCGCCTCTCCTCACCCACACCCACACCCACACCCACACCCACACCATGTCTGTCATCCAAAAATAAGTCATTATGCTAGCTACACGTAGTACAACATCTGCCAAGCCACGTGGTCATTCTGACAACTTGCCTTTTCGAGGCTGTCCGCACGTATATCTATGCCGTGATGTCTCTTTTAAGACACGATTCCATCTGCCTCCGTGCCGTTTTCGTTTGACATCCATTCCTTAATTGGAAAGCTGGCTGGGGAATTGAAGCGATATTACTGGGTGAGATTCCGGTATAGCTGGTGTAGCTGGTGTAGCTGGTGTAGCGTAGCTGTGGTAGATAGAGGCTTCTCGGCTAGCTGAAGGATTGGAGTGGGGGCCGGAAATATATGGACGTATGTACAGATAGATGTGCAGGTGGCATTACCGGATCAATGATGGGATGGATGTATTAGCGTACAGAAACCATCCAGTCCATTGGTAGTGACGGGGAATTTGTTTCGTTCTCGCATGGGATGCTCGAAAGTCAGGCCGGTCTACGTACATTTGTACAACCTTTTTGTCTGGCAGGTCTAAGAATGTAAGTCGAGGGAATGATGCTGGCTCTCCAAGGTCCGTTCATAATTATGTGATGACTAAATTTTCGTCGTGACTTGTGCATTTGAATATCTACCCTCGTTCTGCCATTCCCATTCCAATATTTGGCACTGTCAGGTTATCAGTTTCAAAGAGATGACTTCAGGTTCAAAGGGGAAGTAGTTCATAGATTTTAGGCTATTTATATTTTCGAGTTATCGTATAACTTCGTTTCTGTTCTCGATGTCTGATTTTGTCGAAATTTTGATGATTGGTGGCTCAAGGGGTAACGAGTAGGCTGCCACCCCTTGTCCCCCTTCTTTGGTGGGACACATAACTGCTATTGCAAGTCTCTTCCTCAGATTCGAGTCCTAGTTTATAGCGTCTTTCTAGTTTTTTTGATTTCCATCTTGAAATTTCGGTCGGGTCATGGGACATAGGTTGATATTCCAGTGCGGGGATGGAAACGGAACTCGCCCTTAGACTGAAAGGGTGTGAGCAGTTCAACAATAGACACTGTTGACTGCCATGTATAGAAATTCTCGACGAATCGGATTGATTGAAAAATTGTGATATATTATGGTATTCCTACTGTCTGTCTCTCCCCATACTACACATATGCATGAACCAATGGTTCTCAGATGTTGACGAATTTTCAAACATTGAAAGCATGTTGAAATGTCGACCATTCATGACTTTCTAGGGATTACTGATTCTCTTGAAATTCCAAGAGATGGACACATTCACGGCTTTCAGCAACTGATTATTTCTTAGTATACTGCAATTCATACACCGACTTGCGCCAATGGGTACAAGTCAGGACACTCAGCACCATGAATACTGCAATTTTTGATCTTAATGTAAATTTACAGATGTGTTTCTAACCTTAGATTTTGTGAGAGGTCTGGGTTGCTTTACCTCCATGTCGAAACCAAGTTTCTGAAATATCAATAATCATATATTTTGAAGGTCTGATAAAATCTAGTCGTTGTGTATATATAGCCTCAAAATCGACTTAGCATAATTGGCGCCCCTCTACTCTCACAAACTCTAATCCGTCCTGTCGAACCGATTTTGTGTACAATATTAATAATCGGGGGTCCCTCCCCGAAGAAAGATTTCTGCATAGAACTTGATTCTCTCCAGACTCAAAAGTCTATTTGGCTTTTTGTCCCGATTTTCCTGGCACAGTAATTGGCACTTCTCCAGATCTTTGCCAGAACAATCATATCCACACACATGACTCAATGACTTAATCTCCTCCTCTGCTTTCCTCTTATTATACTTTGTGATCCGGCTCCGGAGTTTGACTTCTCGATTGCAACAGTCAGACGTAAGCCAAGGACACCCAGTTTCCTTATGTCGTGCAATACATCGGAAATAATCACATTCTTCCCATGTCAAGCATCTTGAGCTAGAGAAATCGACTCTACTTTCCCATTGTTCTGCTGACATGATCCGATTGAGATGCTGTATAGCCTCATCGTTGTCAAGAATTTCGCGGGATTCTGCACAATTTTTAAGAGGGAGCATGCATAGGTCTAGGATACGTTCTGATCTGTCTTCAGGAGAGGTTTCTAGAAGCTCAAGCAAAACTTTCGACCGCATTTTGGAAACATCGTCTCGATTCCAAAGGTAGCCAATCATGATTCCAGCCATCATCCATATTAATAATAATATGGCGAGGCATATGCGAATTGTAGTAATTGAAGTAGCTCTTGAAAGTTCTTGACGATACCACTCAGACATCTTAGACTCTTAGTAACTGTATCTTTGTGTGACAGTAAAGAGATATTCAAGACTCCAGTCTTTAATATTCGTTTGTATCTGCTACACTGATTAACAGTTTCAAGTTAGCCAATGCCTCATATTAAAAAATTATACGCAAATCACTCACATACAGTTTTCTGGGTACCAAGAACATAGATTTGGACTGGTTTTGGACAAGCATGTAGGTAAGAATGCACTGTGTAAACTCCTTCTACTTATACTTTATTAGATTTCTCTTACGTCAGACATCTAAATGCATTAAATGGCGTGACCGGACTATCTTTAAAGGCTAAAGCCTTGGCTGACTCAATTTTCGCCAAGATGACGCTGATCATCAAAAGTTCGAAGAAACTGTATCTTAAAGGTAGATATATAACCATGAGTTCATGCAAAGTCTTTATCCGACGAGATAGACCAAATCAATAAATCATGGACAGTTATCTTTCAACAAGAACAAGTGTTAACTACGACGCAAAAGAGATTTCCTGCAGGTTATCGGCATAGTACCTAAATTCGTCCTTCTCCATCTCATTGCTACTACTCCAGAAGATCTTGGTCATTTAGTATCAAAGTCTAGACTCGAGTTACTAGACTATCGATGTAACACAATTAAAACCCCCGCGTTTTGGACGATCATGACAATTAGCCTGTCATGATACGCCCGCTAGTTCTCCGTTCATCACAGTCTTCACAAGTGGCAACCAAATTGATCATCGTAACGGAGATTCCAGCGAATCAATGCAATGGTAGTTTGAAAATTGGCTCCAACGATAAAGAAGTAATCGTCGTCCTCAGGATTGTGTATTAGAATAGAGTCAACTAAAAACACAAACACTAACTTACACTTTACGAAATCTTAATTTGTCTCGTCTCCACCAAGCCATAAGATAGGTATGGTGTTACTCCAACATGGGAATGGCATTATAAGTATAAAGTATTTGGACTCTCCCCAGCACATTGCTTCTTTCATGTTGCACTCTCTCGTCTGAATTATAAACTACCCATAAATATTTATCGACAAGGCATACGGCTTTTTGTGACAGAATGAAAGTGGTACATAGATCTGAACTCACTGGTTTTACCTTGACTTCTCAACTACGCCAGCACTGTTCTCGATCTTTTCTTCCAATTATCAGACCTTCCTCGCAAGCTTTCATGAATGACCTGTTGGTTCAAAATTTGTTCCGATATGTAAATGCTAGTGGTTTGAAAATTCTCACCCCTTTATAATTTCGCGAACGGATGCAATTGCGGTCAAAACAATTCATGACTACAGCCGACGGTAGAGCACCAAACAAATACATTCAACGAACAAAGCATTTTCCCATGCAATAGATATATACCAGAACGCCACCAAATATCATTATCAGCTCAAATACCCGAATCAAATTCCGTGTTCCAAGCTTTATCAACCCGCTCGGTATTATACCATGTATCCCACCTCTTGCATCCCGCATCTACAGTGGAAAGATCTACTCTTTGCGCAATTTCTAATTCTCGTTCTAGGAATTGAAGTGCAAGCCCCTCCCCGACATGGAACGCGATATGACAATGTAATAACCAAGCCCCAGGATTATCCGTAACAAAGGCAATAACTAAATACCCGAGAGCTGGAAGCATAGCTACATCACGCCGAGCAGGATTAGCAAAGTTTAAACTAGATTTGTCTGTGAAGTTGACACCATTTTCTTGCCCTAAAATGTAAAAGTCGTGACCATGAAGATGAATAGGGTGTGGTATCGCGGCAGCATTTTTGATAATCCAGAATGTCCATACATTTGCATCTGGAAGTTCAATGATACTCTGGTGTACGTTGTAATTCTTGTTTCCCTGGGCAACATATTGGAGCGTGGGCTTATCCCACTCAATTTCCATATATGTATCGTTGATACTCCAGACATACGGTGCAGGTGCTTTTGGGAGCGAATTACTTCCAGGCCCAGTAACGATCAATTCTTGGGCAGTAGGCCACACGAATTCATTTTCGGGCACGGATTTCTCATTCCAGGAGACTAGTTGAGTCTCGTCTTCACAGCTTTGGGGTATAAGAAAAGATTTGGAATTTGGCTCCGATAATTCGACACCCTGGTACGAGAAAATGGCATTGATAGACCCATTGTTGGCATTTTGACCGCAGCCAAACCCCTTTTGTGTCGGAGGTTTGGGAACAATGGCTCTGAACCAGTAGTTGGAAGGCGTTTGATCAGCTGTAATGATAACATCGTATCGTTGGCCAATTGCTATGAAGATAGTGTTGGTAGTGTAGGGCTGAATCGGTACGAAATCAGTTTGAATCACTTGAAAAGAGTGAGAATCTAAAGTGACTTGGAAATGATTGTCTATACTCATGTTGATGATTCGAAGACGATATTTTGCTCCTGGAACTAGTCCTGATACCTGATTGTACACTCCAGCAGTTTTGTGAGGGTTTCGATTCGTTCCGTTTATGAGGCCATTGTCTGCTTTTGGAGGACCTTTACTAACAGAGACAAGGCCTTCTTCATAGGTAGACTTATAGTAGAAATCAGTAATTGGTAGTGGACCGAGATCATAGTCATAGTTCAGCGAAGCAGGACCGTTAATGACTATACTTCCAAGAACTCCATCACCATATTGGGCTGCATGGTGGGAGTGATACCAAGAGGTACCATGCTGGGTTGCGAGAAATTTGTAGACTTTGGATGAACCCGGTGGAATCGGACATTCTGTTATTCCATTCACACCATCCATGGTATTGGTATTCTTCTGAACAATTCCATGCCAGTGAATGCTTACACTAAATAGATTCAATATTTGATGGTAAAATAAGAAAAGCAGGGGAGATATTTACCCATCTGTCATTATTTGATTGACAACAGTAATTTCTAGTGTATCACCCCAGTCTATGAAGAGATGAGCCAACATTGCACTGGGGAACGGGTCCACATTGGGAAGAACTCACTTGCAGTAATGGTGGGACCTGGGTAAGTGCCGTTGACTACTAACATCCATCTTGGTGTACCGTCGGGTGACATAGTCTGATTTGTTATGGTAAGAGTGTACTACGAAGAATGAGATGTGAACAACTTTGACAACGCATTAAATACATACAGCAACAACAACCCCAGTATTTGGCCATGCCTCCTCCGAATTTGTATCAATCGAATAGTTACCATTCCAACAATTACGTGACGATGCAGCATTTAAGCAAGTTGGGGTTGAAATTCTCTTATTATTTGACGACACCTTGCTTGGTAGAGCAGAAGGAAGACAAGCTGGAATGAGAATTGCTATACAAAGCAACAGTGTGAAAGACATAATTAAACATGCGTCTAGTCTCAAGCAATAGGAACTGTAACGCATTTGGTTCATTAAAAATATGGAAAATTCACAATCTATTTATGTGATGGTAATTGCAACTATTGTATTGGAACTGTTTATAGATACATGATTTGGGTCACTATTGACCACATCAATTATTGATTTCTCTATGCCAGACACTTCTTGAATATGAATCACGATGTCATAGAAGGCCGGATAAAAATTCTATCGGTATTGAAGCCGATTTTACCTTCTAAGGCCTATAAAAAAGCCGCAGAACATTGTTGGTGTCCGTTCCAGCGGCCGAAACTCATCACTCGAGGCAAAGACTTCTGCAAAGACTTCTCTACAAACATTAAGGTGTAATGCTTGGAAGCATCGTGAACCAAACGTGGCCCTAGAGGTATTCATTGTGGCGATAATCTGAGTATGTATAGAAGGATTTATTTCCTCAAAGAGTTTCCTGATATGAGTTCACCAAGTATGACCAGGCAATGCATTGTCACCCCTGACTACAAGTGATTACTGCAGTGGATACCGCCATTAAGAATGCGCTTGCAATAGGGGATATGATTCTTCAGTAGCGGCGCTGGGTGAGATGGTTTTCATGGTGCGATTGACACGGCTGAGGCAGGGTCAAATACTGTGTGGCTGTCGAAAAACTCCTTGAGGTTTTCTGAGATAAGTGACAAGATGGAACCGAGTTTCAAGAAAAGGGACGCAAAATAACAAGAGAACTTTGAGGACTAATGAAAGAAAAGAAACAATGCCTCGAAGTAAACAGACGAAACATTCTCATTCCCTTCACCTTACTCACCAATTCCATCACACATGTTGGTAATACAATTCTAGGGATAAGAAGCCACAGTAAAAGAAGACCCATAAAGCCGCCGCTGGTATTAGTTAAATTCTAATCTAATATACAATTCCGGTGTACAGATCTCGCTATGCATCAGGGAGCAATGTACATGACATGACGATGTCCAATTCACCCGTTCTGTTGGTCCAATACCTTGAGTGGAGCCTAAAACTACCAGTTCATTAAACATGTCCAAATCGGTAGTAACAATGATTCAAATCCTAAACGCCAACCAAATCACCATCATTTATGTTCGTTATATGTCGTGAATCCCCCCTTCATATTTTACAATTCGATGAATTCGAAATTCATGACACGGGCACCGCACCGGGAGCATGGTCTACAGTGTCTGTTGATGGCGAAAGAATTGGAGCCTTTTCAATTGAAGATTCATCCTCGTCATGCTCACCTTCTGTCGTACTGGTTGCAGTCCCAGTCCCGTTCGTCTGAGCTTGTGGGAACTTTTGATTCAGTTGATCCTCTTCCTCTCGCGAAATCGGGGCGGGTTTAGCCTTGTCTTCCCTACTAACGCTTTCCGCCAAACTCGACCTCGAGTAAACAGAAGAGGAAGATGAATTTCCAGCACCTATTATGAACCGGAATTTCTTGGCATCCTTCTTGGCTTGTTTCTTTTCTTCTTTAGTATCCCCCGAGACCTCATCATCGGTCAAATCCTTCTCGACTGGAATTTCCAGATACACCTGGAAGCCTCTACGTCTGAATCCTTTGTTCCATTGCCTCAGAGCTGATTTCAATTCTGATTCGTATTGAAGGTCTCTTTTGATTATGGCGGTAATTTTCCCACGCTTCCATAACCAGCTAAAGCTCTTTGACGGTGGCAGAGTTTCAATTATCTCTTTTGTGAATTGTGACCATTCGTGCTCGGAGACACCATATTTGTTCAATTTTATATTGTATGGAAACCCAGACGATGGCATATTTTCTTTCGACGGTATCATTAAAGTTCTCGTTTGTGGTCGCGGGGCCTCTGCGAATGAAACTCTTCGAGAATCCGGGCCTTGAGATCTCGATCTTTCAGTACCAAGTTCAAATGATGTTCGAGGGGTGACATTTGTAGATTGTGTAGTACGCCGAGGAGTTATATTTTGAGGTGGAATTACTGGACTGGGCCCTGGGGCTGATGTTGGACGTTGTGTTTGTGATGGTCCCCTTCTGCACTCAGTGTTAGCTATCAGTGTGAGATGATATGCGGGGAAGAAATTGAGAAACTTACGATTGGACTGAAGATGATCGCGAATTTGCTGTTGATCTGCTTGTCCTTGGTTTTGCTTGACTGTTCTTTCGGCTTGGAGCTTTATTGGTCTCCTTTTCGAGCTCTGCGAGCAAACTTAATGCCCCGGACATGATTGTACTTTGACTGGCTAGGTTGATTTGCTATTATTGGATTTAAAGGGGACAGGTTGATGAAAGACTAGGTTCTAATCGACGAATGTGTTGCGGGAGATCAGCCACAAGAAGAGGCAGGTTATGATATATATACGGAATAGAGTGATCGATCTATGTGTCGCTGTGTGGAATTGGGATAGACAATTGGGCACAAAAAAATGGAGAACAAATAAATGATATGATTATGATGATGATAGCAGTGATGGATGGATCTCTTTCTATGGGGGACGAGTACGAAAGGGCAGGACACGACAGCTCTTTAATCAATTCGATGCTATGAACCTTAAATTTTTGGATTATTGATGAATGATAGTGATTGTGGCCGGGTCTTGCATTTATATTCATCCATTGTAAGCGCTGATAGGTCACAATGGTCATGGTCTGTGGCGTAGCACCTGGTGCAGTGTGCACATGGTAAAGCATGGAAGGAAGCATGGATGGGTATTTTGTCAGCCCTGTTCAAGAGCCAAGAGAGATGCTGAGAAATGTACGATAAGTCTTACTTGATTATGGAGCAGATGGAGCATCTAGCAAGTGCACGGTGTGGTTGCTGGTGTGGAACGCCAGGTGGAATCAACAAAAAGTTAATATGACGGTTTGGTAAATGACTGCAAGTGGGTATCTTTGGGTTTGCTACTTCGTACTGTACTGTATCGTACAGCTGTTTATCAGAGTGATCATTGATGAGATGATTTTGATGCCAATCGAAGTGTTTATGATCGACATTGATATACCTGAGGACCTCATAGCTTGATACGAATCAATCTGCTCGGTACATCTTACTGGATTCGGTATTTGAATGTTTGAAATGATTTCGAGTAGATGGGATTTTAGATTCAGGGGCGAGAGGGGGAAAAGGGAAAATACGATTTCAAGCTAATTCAATGTCTTACTGTAATACTGGTACCTACTCTCGAGCTACTACTCTCCCTCTCCCTCTCCCTCCCCCTCTCCCTCCCCCTCTCCCCCGTACATAGGTACCAACATTCAAACGTTCGTAGCCGAGGCCAACGACCAAGCAATGCACCACCTTTCTTTCTGTAATAGAAATTCCACACCGTTCTTGTCAATTTTGTACAACACATCACACGACCAGCCTTCCAGGAAAATTTTATTTTCTTCTTGAAGTATTTTTCTTTAGTATATAAAAATCTTCAAAGAGTCATACTCCATGTGGATTCCATCATGTCCTAATGCTAAATCAGGCAAAATATACTTACTAAGAAAGGAGCAGTGGCAAGGAGTGAATCCGAATGAAGTCCAAAAACTTAAAAATGGAAAAATGCGGATTTTGGGGGATGGTCTAGATGTCCGGAAGTCCTAGCGATGTTGGTTTGCTGACTGTATTCGCAGTACAGAGACCCTTTGGGCGACTACAAACTTTCGAGGCGTTCCTGGACTCCATCTTTCTCGAGGAGAGATGTCATGGCAGCGTCATATGAATATTCTTGTATTTACAATCTCTTGAACGTTCGATTGTGAACGAGGCTGAGTCCGTTTTTCCTTTCGGACATTCTCATTTCACCGGGGAAATGGTTGGAAATCTTTTCATCTGATCTTCATGTATTCGCATCATGCCATGAAGATTCCAGAATTGTCTGAAACGCCGTCCGAATTCTTCAATACTTCACGTCCAATCATGACGTGTAATCCTAGCATTGGAATTAATTGTAGGGATTAATTGACAAATAGATCTAAGTACGTGCATGAAATAGGTAATTCTTCGATTGAAAAGGGTGCAAATGAGAGAGATACCCCGCACGGGAGGTAAATGGACATAGGAAAAGAAAATGCTCTGGCCGAGACTAACTGCTCTCATTGCGTACAAAGCGTTGGCAGTTCATGGCCAACACAGCCTCCAAATATGATGGATGTTAATGCCTCTATCGTAAAACTCAAATATTGCATACATGATACTACTGTTCGTTAGATCATGGACCAAGCGGTCGTGACACTTACGTGCTTGTGCGTTTGCTTTATCACATGCGATTTAGTGAAAAGGGTTATGAAAGCAGGCTGTGAATGGCATGTGGAGCATTTCAATTCGCAACGTTCAGGATAGTTGCATTAGGTTCAGAGTGTCTCGAGTGTGCAATGGTTTGGACTGCAGTTCGACAATCATAGGACGTGATTTGGTTTTTTTCCTTTGTTTTGATTAAAATGAGATCATTCGAATATTATGAATTACTGAACTCATTTTGAAGAATAATTTTGCTCCGGATATTGAAAAGTTGCATCCAGCCTACAGGCCCAAGCTACTAGTCACCCTGGTTCTATATAGCTGCAGCACTCTTCGTTTTGGATGAGATGTCCTTCACAAAATTCATCGAAATGTCTGGAAAAACGGGAAATAAATGAGAACGTAAGACTTAGATGCATCTTTCTTCTAGCTATGGCCAGACCACCAACGGAGTGAAGGGAAGAAATGGAAGAAATTAGGTCCTGATGGGAATAACTTGGTGAGATCTTACAGATATTCCCCAACTGTACTACAGATGAGTGTCTATAGTATTCTCCTAAGTAGATCACGATCTTTCTTGAAACTTCCTCTCCGAAACGATGGCTCGCGGAATTGCCAAGGCCAGCTTAAGTACACTCTGCCATCAGGTGGTACCTGCAGTATCAAACCAGTTTCGCTGCTTGCTCTCTTTGTATCCCATCACTATTTTTAAGGTTTTATATTTTAATTGTAGGTATACGGAGGCTTGCATTGGAATAACTGTCATATTACGACTATGGAATCAAAAGAAGGTACATATATCTCTTGATGACTAATGATAGTTAGCGTCCATGTAGGACAGTGAATCCATTCAACATGTTTTTATTTTTGTAACCGAGGCTAAAGAACTTGCATCTGATGATATTTTTGAAGCAATGGTCGAAGAGGTCGCAGGTCTTTGCCCTGCATGTCCCCGACCGGTAGCCGAGACACCACCAACTGGGCCTCATGAGAGAGAGGTGCTGCAATATTCCTGGGTTTGTTATCACCGTTACTCCCCATTGTTAGCATTTTGCTAATCATCCATAACAAAGCTCAAGCATCATTTGCTCTGCTATTGATGCCAGTGGCTCAACTGTTTTGTTGCATTCAGCAAGTCGCCACGCAAATAGATTGCCTGACTTTATGATTTATTGTTTACCAGAAACTTGTAATACCTGATCAGAATCGAGATCTCATAGTTCCAACGGGTGAGGGGTAGATCTTGCGTTCTCTGGTAGCCCTGGACGCTAGGATAGGTTCATCAAAATTCCTTGGGCTCATTCTGCTAAAATGGTTTGCATTTCAGTAGTAAGTTTCACGCATTAAGGGAAGACATCGATCTTGGTGGTCGATTAGGCACAAGTGGCGAGTGACAACCGGTAGGACTTCAAGATATTCAGGATCCTAGACATTTTATAGGTTTTTATGATGGCAGCTCACAGTATCTTGGCCGATAGCATTACTCCGCAGACCGGGCAGATGGAAACTCTGATTACCAAACGAACGCAGGTCGACAGGTCTGTTTTGATACCCATGCAAACTTACCTCAAATTGAAGGGCCGCACAGCTTACAGAAACGGATGCATGGTGGTGATTCAGTCGGCAATGAAATATCCCGACCGACCAATACTCATCGCGGGGGACAAGAATATTGGCGAGTTTCGAAGCTATGGAGAGCATGATATGCAGTAAATGCTTGTGAACTATGCATTTCCCTTCCGGAAAGGGAGGTATCTTCAGTTGTCAGCCTTCTACACATAGGTGTCTCACGCTACCATTCAAACTTTCGAGTCAGATTGGTCAGCCCAAGAAGTTTTCAAGCTTGAGTGGCCTACAAAATATCGATCGCACGCCCTTTGGCACCAAGCGTAGTTTTTGATATAATCAGCTTTATCCGACTCACATTAATAAAGCCGTATGTCTCTTTCGAAAAATTTCAAAGCATTATGATGGGACCAACTTTCCAACATTTCTTTTGTGAAAGCTCGAATTCCTAAATTTCCTAGCTATATAGTTTTTTTTTAAGTAAAGAAGTTATTAGTATTAAGCTACAAGTTCTATTTCTCATCTCTTAATGACCTCGTTCAATTTTCTCCTGAGTCCCAATTTTCAGATGAAGTTTTGTAAAAGCTACTCCTTAAGAAAATCCACTCAACAGTATAAATAGGGCATACTTTGGATGACGTGCCGCAAGAATTTCACTCATGTAGGAAGTGAATCCTCTTTTCTCATAGAGCTGGATTCACTCTGCTCACTGGCCAGGCTGGGGAAACTTCCTTCAATTCTATATCTACGTAGATCAATAAAATCTTAGAACTTTAACGCTACTTCCGAATCAACAATCTGGTGCAAAATGACTTGCAACGTCCCCCCGCGAGGATACATCTATGTCATTCGAATAAATGAATTAATCGAGAACCATTTACGGGACTTGGATGCAAAAGATTGGACTATTGTGCAACGCCATGTATACGAACGGGAAGTACGGCAGCGAGCTTTGCAACTGATCGATCAGGCAGTTGCGAACTACCCAGAAGATGTCCACTTGACTGGTTATATGGCAGATCTTAATTGGTATTATGAGTATGGTGACAGTAAGTTGATTCATTGTTGGGGTTGTCGCAGAGAAAACTAACTCGAGAAAAGAAAGGGTTCCATTTCCTTACCCATCACCAGCAGAAAATGCAAGGAACTACCTAATCAAAAATCCAGGCGTCGATATTCGCGGCTCTTTTCGAGATGGCAATCTACCCACGACACGAGGCGGTCGATCTGGTGGTGTTCATGATGGCCATGGTAGTGCGCACCAGAGTAGTGACGTTGTTGAACAAGTTGATGTAACACTATCAGATCTATCTACGTTTTTCCCAACAACGATTAAGAGCTCTATTCATCGTCAAACTTCATCAAGCAGCGGAAGTGGCTCTATGTTTGCAAGACAACAAACCTCGGTTCATAACTCAAATGGTACGTGGGAACTTTCACTTGCAGCGTCATCTCAATCTGCAGCATCGTCTCGAATTTTAAAACGATCTATCGGGGATTTCGATACCAGGGAAGACAAAGCAGTTGTAAAAAGAGAGCGAAAGGAGTAAAGACCAGTGGGAGACATGGAGGGGAACCGGTTGAGAATTGCACTGGGTATTCACAATATAGACATTGATTGAATAACACAATCATGATTCTAAATTTCATCCGATGGGGAGAAATCGGGTGATTTTGATCTGACCTTCGTCATAACTTTTGTTCGTATTGTGCCACTAATTCGGCAGCGCAAACGTTCCAATTGACTTGGTTTGGCGATGGACAAGATGGCTTCTAAATCGGCAGTATTGAGTTAGTTTAACAGCGAAAGAGACAGAAGATCTGATGATTTCGAAGGTATAATCCAGTGCAGTGTTACCCTTTCGGTTTCTTGGTGATTACGGTAGTACTTTGATTTGAGGCCTTCCAAGATCAACCACAAGTCTACGAGATAGAACATCAGACCAGCTTTCTACAAGTCTCAGAACCTATTGCAAAACAATGTTCCTACGACACTCGATGATTTTCGTTCCGAGTAGAAGATATCTGAAAGTTGTACATTCAGTCCATGGCCATATTGTTACAAGTAGGTAGCGGAACGGGGTGAAGAGGCAAATGAAGATCTCAAGTTATGGAACATGTGAATGTGTAAATGTGTACTCAAGAGAAGATAAAGTTCCTTAGACAGGTATAAATCCAAGACTACTAGGTACATATTAGACGATGCAGGCTTCGTAAAATCAGTCGAGTTGTTTGTTCGGCCGTCTGGAATTTGTTTTGGTGAAGGGATTTTTTGGATGTTGTCTAAGCTGCCCAGGTGACTAATACAAGGTTTCCACAACCTCTTCTCCACGACACCCCTCTTTTGTGTCCAGAAATGCACATTATTGCGTATTGCGCGCACTTAACCTCAATGTCGTGCTCTTGTTAGTGCTGTTGATCATTGGGGAAATCCATTTCCAAGAAGCCGGTATTTCCCCAGATGAGGCGTTGATTGGTGCATCCACCACATCAGATCAGTGCACTGGTGTTCAATCATCTATCTGGATCCTTATTCCTGACCTCAACGATGAAATGCCTAGATAATTACCGAGAAGCATGTCATGGCTGCGTATAAGTCGAAATCTTCGTTTGGACTGGGCAATGTGAGCACGAACAAGTGTTTCGTGTCATACAAATATGACCCCAAGAAGGTTCCCAATGTATAAATCATATTCAAACATTTATGATATTCGAAATACTGGGTTCATCGTGATTATTGAACCGCTTTCATATACGAAAAGTTTCTGGTTGTTGGCACCGCAGTCTAGACTGTTTAAATCTCTGCTCGTGTGTCGAATCTGCGAGTAAAATATACACATTAGCACCGAATATTTTCGCCTGCGAAGTTCGGGATTTGGTATTTTCAGATCAAGAGGCTAATCCCGACAAACACCGGTTGCTGTCTTTTCGGACTTTGTTTTGTTTCTTTAAATCGACGTGACTTTAAAGGCTTGATCGATTGTCTCAAAATGGTTGACACAATTCGAAGTCTAGATATCGAGAGCGGTCGTCTCAAAGACGTGGACAACGACCAAAGCTTGCGAGGATATTCCATCCATGTAGTACCACAATCCTTTGGAAGCACGATCGGTAGTCCGGTAAGCCCCTCAAAGTTCCTAAACAATCATCAACTTATTTGGGTCTTTATTCAGACCGCATTAGCGATCGGAGCATTTGCGACTACTCTTACAACGCTCTCTTGTGCTCTTATGGGATTCCGCGGGCTATCTAATACAGATGTTTTCGTTGCGAATTTCAATTTTTGGTAGAAATCCCTTCCCATTTTCTTCCTTGAAAGCTCATCCATTTAATTCTCTTACAGTGCAGGTATAGGCATGGTTATCTCTGCTCAGTGGGAGCTCATTCGGGGCAATTCATATGGCTATACTGTCCTGAGTGCTTTTGGACTTTTCTATGCTGGATTTGGTGCATTGGACATTCCTTTTCTGGGGATCGCAGCTGCATATGGAAATGATACTGTACAGTATAATAATGCCCTTGGATTCTTTGTCTTATGTAGGAGTCCACGACTGCCTATTGAGGAACTAGGAAGCTGACAGAAATAGTGTGGTCTGTCTTCAACTTATTTTTCTTGATCGGATCAGTTCCAATGTATGTATTATATATTATACCGCGGACATTCTTTTGATTGAGATCTAATCAACACCCTAGAAACCTCGTCTATATTGCCATCTTCTTTTTTGTACAACTAGCTTTTACTCTCGTCAGCGCATCGTATTTCTGCGCTGCAGACGGCAATGTTGCAACAGCTGCCGCACTCAAGAAAACTGCCGGAGCCTTTGCTTTTATCGCGGGGATGTTTGGATATTATACTGTCGGACATTTGATGTGCCAGGAAGCACTATTTTTCGATTTTCCAATGGGCGATACTAGTCGATTTTTCAGGAGGAAATTGAACAATGAGAGGCCAGTTCCACAACAACATGAGAAGGAATCTCAAGCCTAGTCGATTGTTCAGGACGAAACTCAACAATGAGGGGCCAGTTCCACAACCACATGAGAAGGAATCTCAAGCCTGAAGGATGATTTACACAGGAGACACTGAGGTCCATCAAAGAGGCGGTGGTTACGGTACAAAATAAGGCTTTAAAAAAAGAGAGAGAAAAACTGTGATAAATTGCTGAAGCATTTGGGATTCGATTTCTTAAGTTCCGAATCTACGGCTAACTTTCAAAAAAAATAACAAATTCATTCTTCGATTGTTAATATCCGGATTCACTTTTTGATTGTTTCATCTCGAATGGATAATTGTAACAAATTCTAGGACATATAATTTGATACATCAAGAGATATTCACAAGTCAATTTTTGCAGTGTCCCGTCAGTCTGTACACCCACAGGTAGATGCACTGGTAGACGTGAGATTTTCGGCATTAATCGTGCATGATCCCACTGTAATAGCATCGAAATTGTGGATTTATCATTGACACATGGCTAACAAATGTGTTTACAACTCCACTTGATTCTATCGAGTTTCTTCGAATTCGAGCTTCTTCGCATTCAAGGATCAGTAGCTATGTTGAATAAGGAGCAAAGTTAAAATCTTGTATTCATTTGCGATTCCTGATCTAGGTGGAAAGAGCAATCTTAAAAAATACCCCCTTTTATAAAATCCCTATCGGTGTGGGCACGAAGCGCGGGATTTCTCTCAAGAGTGGACATGTTGGGATGTTTCCAACATGACATTTCGAATCAATACAAGTCTATAAAGACCTCGGGAATTGTCTGGGGTTGAGAATTCACTATTGGAGCAATAGTTCACGTCTGGGGAGTTTTGTTTCTGTACAGATAAATTGCTGATTGTTGAGAATTATCTGTTCACATTCCTTCGTCTCGTGATCGATCGTGCGAGCGATAGAAGATGGAAATCATAATGGATTCGACACGCCAGCTTTGATCTATTCCATGGCAGATGTGACAAGCAATAAGTGCAGGGAAGTGAACATTAAACTCACCCACTTTCTTGGTCAAATTGCTCCATAGCAAGATGTTCTAATGCCCAAGAAGCCAAATCAAGCTTTCCCATAGTGTGGTAAGCATTTTGGGTCCACTCGATAATGGACTCAGAAAGAGTAACAGCTGAAAATCATACCACAAGCTCTACTTCGATCAATATTTTTCCGCGGCGTCCCAATGAAGGATCAGATATTGATTTTCTCATATAGAAACAAGCTTTAAACAAAAGAACGAAGGAAAGGCTTGCAGGGAGAGGGGAGAGTCTCAGAGTGTAAAGTGTAAAGTGTTTATCCGCTTGTCAGTAAGATTGCGGGGTAGCTTTTTGTGGATTCGCGGGGACTGGGGTTTGGAGAAGATGGGGTACTCGGGCTATTCGCAGGAGAAAGAACAGACCGGAATTGACCATTGGCGAAACCTTTCAACAATCTAATTGTTCTAATTCAATTCAAACAATTGAAAGCTCAAATAGTATGTCAACTGAAGACGAATTGAAGAATCTATTCATTATTATTAAATCTCACAAATTCATTTGTTGTTGATTTATTATATAAAAAATTGAGGTGATCAATTTTGGCCTCTTTTTTCTCCTACTCTGCGTATATCGCAGACAAGTCAGATGGAAATAAACTCCAGGGTATGAGGGTCAATCTTTTACCGGGAACCATGCTTCTCTTCAGATTATTGGTCTGTCAATCTCACGCCTCAGCCGTGCATATTCACATCGAAGCTCCGGTGAGGGTGAAGGTTACGTATGTGTGGAAGTGGATAAGAAGCTCTGGATAAGATGCAGCCATGCGCACAATAAAGTTTCCCATTTTCTTCCTGTCGTGCCCCGATTCACATCTCCACGTCTCGAGCATTGAAGCTCCAATCCGCAACCATGGGGATGTTATCCAAAGTCGAGGATCGTCCCACCCCTTCTCAAGTCTATAATTGGCGTGTTTATGCATGTTCTATTGTCGCCGGTTTTGCGGCTGTCATGATAGGTTATGATAGCGCATTTATTGGAACAACCATCGCCCTCCCATCTTTCAAAGAGGAGTTCAATTTCGCCGCATTGTCTACCACGAAGCTAAATCTCGTGAGCGCCAATATCGTATCATGTTATCAAGCTGGAGCATTCTTCGGCTCTCTCTTTGCGTATATTGCGGCGTATTTCCTTGGAAGAGTAAGAGGTATGGCCGTATTTAGTGCTGTGTTTACAATTGGAGCGGCAATGATGCTTGGTGCAAATGGAGATCGTGGCCTGGGTCTCATATACGGCGGACGAGTTCTTGCTGGGTTGGGCGTAGGAGGTTGTTCGAGTTTGGCTCCTATTTATATATCCGAGATATCTCCACCAGCAATTCGTGGCCGACTGGTTTGCGTAGGTTTTGCTAGTCAATTGCACATTTAGACTCTTGCTAATCTTTCAGATGTTTGAATTGGGATGGCAGATTGGTGGACTGGTTGGATTCTGGATCAATGTGAGACAATTGAATCGTTTAAGTGAGGGGGAGGTCACTGATTGTCTCTGCAGTACGGAATCTCTGAAACTCTTCCGTCTAACCACGAGCAATGGATCATTCCATTTGCAATTCAGCTCATTCCTTCCGGACTGTTATTACTCGGATCGTTTTGGCTTCACGAAACCCCTCGCGTGAGTACATCGGCTTCCAAATTCTTCAGTCTTTCTTCTCAATTGCGTTGCTTTTCAATATCATGGCTAACCTCCATTCCATATAGTGGTTAATGAGCAAAGGAAAACGGGACAAAGCTATCAAGAATCTATGCTGGATTCGAAACCTCGCTGAAGATGATATCTACATCAAGGAAGAGATCTACGCAATCGACCAAAATATTGAACAACAAATGGCAGGTGGTGGTCTTGGATTCTGGCAACCATTCAAACTCCTCGCGAGAAGCCGAAAGATCCAATGGAGATTTTTTCTTGGAGGTGCATTATTCTTTTGGCAAAACGCTTCTGGTATCAATGCCGTCAACTATTATTCTCCAACTATCTTCAAGAGTATTGGGATTATCGGTACCAACACATCACTCTTCTCGACCGGTCTATTCGGTGTTGTCAAAACTGTTGGAACTATCATTTACTTGCTGTTCCTAATTGATCAATTGGGGCGCAGGAAGCTATTGATGATCGGATCCATTGGCGGAGCGTTGTGCATGTACTACGTCGCTGGTTACATTGCAATTGCAAAACCTGCGGATCATCCAACAAGTTCCCTACCCCCTTCTGGTGTATCTGCCGTTTTCTTTTTCTACTTGTGGACTGTAAGTATCTCAGCCAATTGAATACTCAATGACATGCTAATAACTCTCCAGGCATTTTACACCCCAACCTGGAACCCAACACCCTGGGTAATAAACGCCGAGATCTTCGACCAAAGTGTCCGAACGCTAGCTCAAGCACATGCCGCTGCCCATAATTGGCTGTGGAATTTTCTCATCTCGAGATTCACACCGCAAATGTTCTCTTCAATGGGATATGGAGTCTACTTGTTCTTCGCATCATTGATGATTTGGGGTGCGGCTTTCGTTTTCTTCTTGATTCCAGAAACGAAGAACGTTCCTCTGGAGGCGGTTGATAGACTCTTTCAGCGCGGTTTGCCGGCTAGGAGAGCGCATGCAGTTGTGTGGGCGGAATTGGAGCAGGAGGAAGAGGCATTGAGAGCGGGAATCACGGCGGGATTGGAAAAAGAAAGGACGACGGCACATGTTGAGACTGTTTAAGATGGATGAGATGCGAGTGATTAGCGTCTATTCGTAGCTAATGGCCAATTCATGGCTTGATTGTTGTTGCAGTAGTGAGAAAACGTAATATCAAAAGCTCTGCATAATCTTGCCTATGCGTTAGTTTCCCTGAAACGATGAGATTCGAGTAGGGAATGGTAGAGTGCTAATCTGTCAAGAAGAATACCCTTGATGTGAAATCAATGTATTTTCAGATCAAAGGGCATCCAGAGGAATGGAAAGTCCCAAGCCCTTGGAACTTTGCACTCCTTATCCTTTCCCCCCTACTTCCTATTCCCGAACCCCAATAAGAATGCAATTCTCAACGCCGACCCAAACCCGAGAATCCCGTAATTAATCAACTCCTCCGTCGACCATTCCCCAACGTTAAAAATTCCAACGGAATCCGCCTTGTAGATTCCCCAAAAATGTCCTACGTCACACAATAGCATAGCAAACACCACCGTCTTCCACACGGAGTAATCACGAGTGAGCCTCAAGACCACCGCTTCGTTGATTGTGAATAGAACATAGAGAGCCGCGATATCAGTGGAGAGGAACTGTATCACGGGGTCCGGAGTAAGAGTCGATGAGAGAGAAACAAAATTTTCAGAGAGAGAAGAAGGAGCCGTGCCGTGGATAAACTTGTAGGGTTCGAAGTAGGCTAGGTAGGCGCCAGAGAGGGCCAGGATAGGTTCGATGTAGAGGAGGAAAATACGGTAGAAGGGGTGGATTTTGGAAATGCGGGAGTCAATTGATGGGGCCATTGTGAAAACGGTGACGATGACGGTAATTTGTTGGAGAAGGATTGAAGGCGATAGGCTAAAGGTAGGGGGGTATATATGAAGGAGATGTGGTTATGAGCTTCGATGTTTACAAAGCTGAGACAGTGCGTATCACTTGAGAAGTCTGTGCTGCCGTAAATTTTCCGCCCGTAGACTCTGGTGACTGCTACCAAGGGAAAACCAGACATATCTAAAAGACTTGGCATTATATTCCATATCCCGAGGTCATCATCGATGTCATCTTCTTAAGTAGTCAATCGAATATCTAGCTTGCTTCAATTTGGAGTTTCCTTCATTATGAATCCTTATCAACTTTACCATTTTAAACCTGCTTTACCAGAGATTCGAATCATGGTTCCGAGAAAGAGTTCCCTCAGACAGAGAGAATAATTCAAAGTACGAAATGTGATATAATGACATCCTGTTTTAGTTTTAAAGGGATCTCAATACAATACCGTCTTCACACTAACAATTTCTTCGTTTCCCTTCCTTGACCTGAGATTGTGCGAAACCAAATGGTGACTTCATGCCTCCACCGTTCATTCTCGTCTCTAGTTTTCTCTGTGAGTCGGTGTTCTGCGAGACAAAGCCGTTCAATTAACTGTACACTTCATCCTTGACTTACCGCTACTTGTTGTACACAAATATGTGAGAGTCAAAACACTTCATGCTATGGATTCCTGAGTCAACTGATCTCTAAGCCATAGGTGACTTTCGATTCCATGCCTCTCCCCTTTCCCGGTCACGTAAAACTATGGGATGGCAATCTTGGCAAGCCATATTCCAGATATCCATTCAGTATTACATGCGCACTCCTGTGAACAAGCTAGACCTTCGCCGCATTGTCAGATATTTAACACAGAAATCTCACCCATTTCATGCACAGCTACAATCAACTTCAGTCTCAATCTCAAGGGTATATCTCTAATCATTTCTGTTCGTTGGCGGCGCTTGCAGAGCTATCTTTCCTGGTTCCTAATTACACAACACTCCTCCCCAACTCCTTTTTATTCATATCCACTGATCCAACCCGTATCAATATTACCACCCGTAAAATACCACCATTGCCCACTAGCTAGCTTTGTTTAATTTTATCATCCGATACCGATCATCATGAAGCCTTTATTCCTTCCGCATTAATTATCATCTATCTTCTCCACTTCGAGTTTGGCTTCCTCCCAAGTTTCCTTATTCTTTTTAGCCCATTCAATTTGAGCTCTCGCGTATGCAAGCTGTGAACATGATTAGTATTTCCGTCGCAACTCGGCTATGGGTATGCGAAAGAGGAAATGTAAAATGACGTGGACACGTACCATATATCTCTTCAAATCATCTTCTTTCTCTTTTTGAAATCTCTGCAAATCCTTAAGAACACCTGCACTTGCATCTTTGACATCTTGTGCGGACGCAAGTTGAGCTTGCTCCAAATGTGAAATTGCCTCTCTAGTCTTGCTAATTTGATCCCTCCGTGTTCGCTCCGGATCAGCATCAACAACGCCATGAACTGCATGACTTATACGTCCAAAGATCTTGTTTGTGATGAAATTTCCACTGGAACTCTTTCGATGAGTAGGAGGAATTTCTTCCTGTTGAGGGATTCCTTGAGAAGCAGATGGAGTATCGCCGTGAGTTGGAGGAAAATCGGAATCAATTGATGCCGTATCATCATGCGGTGATTCACGTCTTGCTTGTGGCGGTTCTCTTGCAGACGAATTTGACCGCCGTGGTACATTGCCAGTTCCACTATTGGTTAGATATTGGTCGATTCTCTTTGCTTCAGCTTCGCTTCTTTCCAACTGCTCTAGAAGAGCTCTCTTTTTAGCCAGGTCTTCGTTAGTCATTTCTTGCTGAACCCTCTTCAAAACGCGATATCTCAAAACACTTCGCACTACACCGGCAAATTGTGCACTCTCGCGCATTGGTTCGGCAAAGGTTGCACCTAAGGAAGCAGAGAGTTCCTCGGTCGCAATGTACGAAGAATCAACAGCTTGACCAACTCTTTCGATAGCTGCTGCAAGAGATGCCGACGGCTCTGAGAGCGAAAACCCATTGTATCTAGCGCCAAGTTCCGCCAAATCAGTCGATAACGAAGACAAATGGGTCAATGTCCTCCGGTTAACTCGTTCAATAGGTCCAGTCAACAATGCTTCCAAGTCCTTCGTAGAAGATTCAAAGCTTATGAAGTATGGATCCAAATCCTGCTCACTCAAATTCGCACTTTCCGGAGGGATTCTGCCAAAGACTTGCGGTCCGGCTGTAGAATGCGCCGCGGTGGAAGGACTGGCGGCATACTCAGAAGGTTGTGCTATCATACCTTGAGCATTGGTAGTAGATGTAGAAGCTGCCTTGAGTTTCGCAGAGGATGCAGGCACAGGTAGGAATGCGTGAGCAGGTGTGGGGTTGGCGGGGTCGAGTGGTGGGGCTTTCATATTGGATTTTGGAATTGATGCAATAGGATGGGAATGTAATACTTCGTTCTAATGAGAGTTAAAATAGGAACGGTAGCGGAATATGAAAGATCGTTGACTTACCCAACTTGCGTTTGGATCCAGAAATCTCCACCAAACCCCATCATTCCGTACCTCATCCATTCTCCTGCATCTGTTCAAGAAGACAGCCAACATGCGCTTTCGAAGATCTATCATTTGTTGATCTACCTTGGCTTTGGTTGGGTTCGCCGCATAATCTGCTATGGTATGCTTTTCTGGAATAGGTGGAATGATCAAAGTAGGATGTAACCTGGAGAGGGCATCTCTTAAAGAGGCAAACTCGGAATAGCGACGACGGACTTCAAGATCCTACTATATTGTTAGCTTGTCTATTTTACCTAGCTAGTTAACATACCCCGGTTCTTATCGTATACACAATGTATTTCCCACCACTCTCAGAACTCTTCCCGGCGTCAACAATCAGAATAGGGAGTTCCGGATTCTCGTAGAGAATTTGTTCAATGCGACTATCGTATCCCCCCTTCTTCTGCCTCCTTGTAGCCTGAGACGCTTCGCCATAATCCTCATCACTTCCTGCCTCACTCGGGTCATAACTTAGATTGCGCTGTTCTGGTACATTATCTTGGTTTTCGCTGATGGTGGAAGGAGTGCGTGGTCCACCAAAATCATGTTCTACGATGTCCCAGCCCTCGGAGTCAGCATCAGACTCAGCACCTGGCGCGTAGCCCAGGAAAACAGAAAACATTTTGATACAAAGCGATCAAAGTTGTAAAAATGAAAGAAAACAACTTACGAGATCCAGGTGAATTCGGGACAGCATTTGAAGAAGTTATTGAATCTCGGCGCTCGAAGCTGGTGCCGTATGGATTATTGTCTTCATCATTCCACATCCTGTATGAATGATATGCTTGCTTGTACGGTAAGCTTTTTGTATTTCTGTGAATATTTGATTAATGATTAGACAATTGTTTGGGTGTTGTGATTTGATGTTATTCAAGGTCATGGCAGTTGGAACAAGCACTCAAGGAAAGCTTTCCTACATTCATTCTAAGTTCTAACATAGTTGATCACCAGCCATCGTCATTGGTGTGCACAGACCACAACCATCATTGAGGCTTGATCGATTGAAGCTGGAGCTGGCCCCGAGGAGCCCCTCACAAAGTGAACTGTGGCACTGCAAGTATTCAATCATCTACTTCAAATTTCAATTGATGATTTGGTAAAAAAGATTTCTCAATATAAGGAAGGTCCTGACATATATCATTAAGACGTGTTAGAAGTTCGGTCCTACTTGGCAATTGAACTATCTTTACCTTCATATTCCCTTCCCATTTGATCTTGGATTGTCCTCTTTATTCAGAACTATTATTCTACCAGCCAAACGTCTAGTCAAGAGATTCTTCCAGGCATTACACCATGATCACCAGATAGGGAGTTTCCAAAGTTCCTTTACAGATACACGTTATCAATCACTCACTCAATTGCCATCAGGTGTCAGTTCAGATTTCCCAAACAGCTTCATCATATACTGAGGTGATACCAACTAGTCAGGGCTCAGGAACCCTCTCTCTCCTCCCTTGGTGAAAATCATGAGATGAGACAACACCACTATTATCAGTTTATAATGGCAAAGGATATTCATTCTTTTCTCTTAGTCAATCAAAAAACTCATCCGCAAGTACTATATCAAGTCTAATCTGATCAAGCAAGGCCCCAAGCTCCACCTCATGCAAACCACAAGTGGAAGCTAGGCAGAGTCGAGCGAGTTCCTTTCCCCTTATTGACTTAGACGAGCAGCCAGAGAATGTAGAGATCTCAAGATAATACCTATACACATCTCATCGAAGCCGCCAACCCTCGAGATAAAACTCCCATATACGAAGCATTAATCAATAATTGCACTTCACAAAATCATCACAATCAAGTTTCGGATATCTGTTTTATTTCATTTTTCATTTCCCATCTCATTCCACTCCTGGAACCTACCTCCCTATCATCGGGTCAGGTTGCCAAGTCCCTTTCTATCCTGATACCTAATCCCATACTGGTCATCATTCCCTATCCAATCCCCTCTTGAACCCTCGAATTATTTCCTCTCTTTTTCTGGATATCAATATCAATCATTCAATACCCTCTCTTGAGATCCTCGCCTTCCTCAATTTTTCATCCGCAAATGTTTCCCCTTGACATCTCCACCCCACGAAACAAAAAAAGATACACAGAACGCAAAAGCCATTAGAGACCAAAACAAGAAAGAAAGCACAACGAAGCGAATGAAGGTAGTAAAGAAAAGATGAAATGGAATAAATAAGAAATTGAGAGCTCGGTATTACAACACAATATTTCCTGCCCATGCCTATCAAATGCACGCAAGTTCAATTTCAAACAAATCAACTAAGCCACTTTTTCCTCCTCCATACTATAAACTCAAAATAATCATTAAAAGAAGCCCCTGTCCTTGATTAATGTCCTGCCACTTCCTCTTCAGCCCAACCATTGAGTCCGTGTCCTTGTCCATCAATGCCAAGTCCGTATCCGCTGTTGAAACCTCCATTGCCTAGACCACCAGAGAAAGAGCTTTGATATTGATGACCTCTGCCTCTTGGGTTTCCTTGCTGCTCTCCATTTCCATTGCCATCTGGTTGTGCAAAAACAGGAAGAGAAACAGCCCTGCTGTGGCTTCCTCTAGCTGGGGCCAACAATCCATTCATGGTGGGTGCTCCAGACGATTGGAAACCATTCGTATTGCTAATGCTTGCGCTTGAACCGTGTCCATTCGATTGTGGTTGCTGGATATTCATGTCATCCATGTTACCACCACCGTACAAAGCTGCTTGTTGCGCTGCAAGGACTTGTTGCTGCTGTTGTTGAAGAGCTGCAACGGAGTATGGATCAAGGTTTTGTTGTTGCTGTTGTTGCTGTTGTTGAGAAACTTGGTTGAGGTACATGGTCAAAGGATTGTTACTTCCAGCGTTAAGAATAGTTGATGGAGTAGATCCCTGTTGTTGTTGTTGCTGCTGCTGCTGTTGGAAATTTCCATTTGATCCATTGATTGAACCTGGAGCTACAGAACCCGTCGGGGAAGAACCATTCTGACTGGGTTGAAGGCCGCCCGAATGAGGAGGTGAGTTGACACCATCACCGCGCGGAGATTGGGATTGTTGGACTTGTCGTGGAGGATTTCCACATCGATCTTTTCCAAAGTTGACTTTGAATCGACGGTACTCTTCCTTTCCTCGAATGGCCTCAATTGCCTTGATAGCATTTGCAATATTCGTGAAGTTTACGAAGGCGCAACTCTTCTCTCGAAGAGTGTTGACCAATTCAATCTCACCATATTCGGAGAAATCTTGTCTCAACCTCTCTTCGGTCCACGACTCATCCAAGTTACCAATGTAAACATTTCTTGATGCACCACCACTAACAGCAAGAGCAATTGCAGCTGGAAGAGCACCAGAGTGTTTCCCCCAACCAATCTTCAATCTTCTATTGTGGATCATCAATCCTTGCAAGTTACTCAAAGCATAGAAAGAAGCAGCAGAGGTAGGATCGATGAATGTGACAAAGCAAATGTGCTTGTCGGGTATATATCGAATGTGATGTAAAAGACCACCTCTAACAACATTGCAAATTTCCTCGATTGTTGTTTCCGGATGAATGTTACCCAGGTAAACAGTGCGGTTTCCAAGGTTATTGATTCCACCCGCGGTAGTGGCAACAGCTGCGGCAGCTACAGATTGCTGGGCCAAAGCATTAGAAATCAAGTCACGATCAGCCCCATTGAGAACATGAGCGTATCCTGGTGCAATACCAAGATATTGTGCAGCATTCTGTTGTTGGGTCTTTGAAACGTAAGCGCAACGATCCTTTCCGTAGTAGACCCGACGTGGTGATTGCCATTTTGCCTCTTGAGGTAACTGAGAGACCGCCTTGATAGCATTTCCAATCGACAAGAAATGAACAAAACCAATTGCCTTTTCCCGAACGATCTTCACTGTATCAATTGGGCCGAATTTTCCAAGATCTTCACGCAGCTCATCCTCGGTGACCTCCTCACCAAGGTTTCCCAAATAAACATTTCTCGAAGCACCCGATTGTTGAACGGCAAGAGCGACAGAAGTGGGCACTTGAGAAGGCTTTCCCCAACCAACCTTGATATCCTGGCCTCTGATGGAGAGCTTCTTCAAAATCGCATCGGAGTGGAAATGTGTGGCGGAGCTTCCATCCAAGAATGAGATGAAAGCACAGTTCTTATCTGGCAAAAGTCGAACAGACTCAATTTGTCCACTTCGAACGTGACCGAGGATTTCTTCCGCGGACGTCTCAGGAGGAATGTTTCCCAAGTAAACAGTTCGGCTGGTTCCTGAAACCAAACCAGGTGACATCTGTACTGGAGAGGAAGGAGCCATGCTCATGTTCTGCATCCCGTTGTTCATTTGAGCAAATCCACCAGTTGGGGATTGTGGGTTGTAGAACTGAGGTGCGCCATAAGTCGAAGGGGAGACCAAGCTCTGATAGAGTTGAGGAGACATAGGTCCCGTTGGGCTTTGAGGTTGCTGTTGATTCTGCTGTTGCTGTTGGAATGTTGCATAGTTTTGGAATTGAGGACTTTGGAACGCAGAAGGAGTCCCTGGTTGGAATGGACTACCAAGGAGAAGTTGTGAAGGTAACAAAGGTGTGAATTGCATATCGAATGCGGTCCCTGGTGTTGTCATATCATTTTGACCTTGTTGGCCCATGCTCTGTGTATTTATTGAAGGAATGTTCACTCTGCGAGGATGTCTATCACCATAGCCACCCATCGAAAACTGATTTGAGCTGTATGCGCCATGGGAGAAGCCTGTATCGCTGCTGGAGGGCTTCGATGCATGCCCAAAGGGTCTATTTACAGATGTCGCTCCAGATCCGCCATTTTGAGATTGTGACTCCTGCATCCCGAGAAGATGAGGTGGCAGGACAAAGCTGTCCCGCACAAGAGATGATATTACCGCCGTTTTGAAAGATTAAACTGTGCCTGCAAAGGCACGTTGAAAAACTTTTGGTCTTGAAGATTGAATGAATCAATTGACCAAAAGATATCCAACAGAAAATTAATCTGCCAAAAATCGTAAGAAGAGTGAATATGCCGAGAAGTTCAAATTCGAAATATTTGTCTGAAGTGAAGTTTGGATATGTATTAACAAAGCTAGGTATGTAGATATTCGAGGTTGGCTGGTTGGCTGGAATTGAGAATGTTTGCCGCTATAAACAAATTCTTGTATAGGTAGAAATATGAATATTAAAATAGGTTCAGTTTGTATACAAGTATTCGAATCGAAAGGAGAAAGTTGTCGATGTGAATCGTCGCAAAATATCTATTTGGTAGATGTTCGAAGTGTGTTGGATCGAAGGAATGGACGTTTGAAGTTGAGTGAATGCTCGAAGGACTTTACTGTGACCGCAAAGGATTCCAATCGAAGTAATGGTCGTTTCGATGCGAAGGCAAATTGGGCAGTTCTAAAAGAAACGCTTCAGAATATCTGCTCGATGCAAGATTTGAGTGGGTTGTATAGAGAATATTGGAACAATAGTAACAACAAAGAAGTTTTGTCTTTTTTGGAAAAAGGAGGTAGACTCTTCGTCAAGCTTATTCGAATAGTTTGGACGAATCGATAAGGACTGTCTAGATTTCTTTTCTTCTCTGATCTTCTTCTTCTTCTTCTTTTTCAATACACACTTCTTCTGCTCCTCTTCTTGTCTTCTTCAATTCAATCCTCTTGTCGATATTCGAGAATCAAAAGATCAAGAATTAGAGTTGTGAAAGGGTAAAAAAAGGGGAATGCAAGATAGTCAATCCGCTTTTTTTAATCTCTCTTGAAATGGGGACCTGATGGTGGAAATGATACCAAAAAAGAGTGTATTCAAAATGGATTAACCAAAGAAGGAATAATTGGAATCAAAAATCAACGAAAAAGGAGTAAAATGGAATTGAACAATATCTTGAAAGAATTGTGAATTGTTCAGAGCATAATATAAGAAGTAGAGTAATGAAGGAAGAGAGAGAGGGGAGGGAGAGAGTTGTGAGAGTGAATGTGAGAGAGGACTGAAATGAAAAAGATAGAAAGCGGGCAAGTTAAAGTTAGGATGGAATAGGACGATGAAAAATAATTACCTAGATAATTTATCTGATCGAGTATGATATGGATTTGAACCAATCAAAGACTAGAATTCATGTATAAGAGGGAGAAAAAGGGAGGAATTCCTTCATTTTAATTAAACCGAAAGTAGTTTGGGGTGATGGCTTGATGCGGGATAGTATGAATTAACATGGGGTCCTTCCTCTTCTAGAATGATTCCCGCCAGTACCTCACTAGTAGCTAACTAATCAGCTAATAATACCTGGTACCTTAGTAGTTAGTTCATTATTATCCTCCCCTTTTACTCGAAAGATGGAAATGAATGTCGGGGATGGGATGGGATGGGATGGGATGGGATGGGATGGGATGGGATAGTATGTGAGTATGGGATGGGATGGTATAGGATAGTATGTGAGTATGGGATGGGATGGTATGAATACGGACGGTGAGGTATTGGATGTGGGATATGATATGGGATATGATATGGGATATGATATGGGATTGGATATGGAATTGGTTATGGAATTGGTTATGGAATTGGATATGGAATTGGAATGGGATGGTATGGGATGATATGGGATGGGTTGTATTATTAGATGTGAGATATGGTATAGGATGGTACGGTATGGTATCTGGTATTGGATGTGAGATCTGGTATAGGATGGTACGGTATGGTACGGTATGGTATCTGGTATCGTATGAACATTATACCAAGGAGGTCTTGACCATTATGGTATCAAATGAAATGCCCGCTAACATGTTCCCTTTACCCCTGGAAGCCTCCAAGACCGTTTCTAATGTTGTACTACCAATATGTTTATGCAATCATCTTAAAATAATCATTCGTGAGAAACAGATAAAATCACATTGAATCACTTCCACAGGTATACACTACACATCCATATACACTACACATCCACATCCACATCCACATCCACATCCTCATTCAACATATGATAGAACAGAAGAAAGGAAAAGGAATCCTCTCGTCTCTCACGCACGCACGAATCGATGAGAAACTCACACTTCCCGGCACCTAGGTATAAACACCCACAACAAGGCGAGGCGATTCATTCATTTCCAAGATCATCTCGGACCTTCATCTGGGGGTCGACTATCATGTAAGCACTCCAAGCTACCAAAACTCAAAATGCCATGGTACACACATTTTAAGATATTGGTGCAGAAAGAGCGTCAAGATATCAAATCATTCGTCACTTCATCATCACAGCCTACCATTAACTAACATACAGAATCCTCCATAGCCGCGGCGCATATCTTGGGACCGACATGTTGATACAAACGTAGGTACGAAGCCAGAACCACAACCACCATCAGGTACGATACAACAAATAAAGCGCTCTGCCTCTTTCATCTTCTCAGCATTCTAACACCGACCCAATCGCAGCGCCAACAATGTATTCTAGACTTGATCACTATGGAGAAGACCCAAAAGAGCAAATCCATTACGACTGAGTGTTGATTTTGGAAGCACGGTATGGAGAAAAACAGCACACGATATGCACTTATGGATCTCGCGTCGGATTCGTGGTTAATCTTCATTCATCAATTCAGGGTCCAAATCCATCGACTCCGTAATACGATCTCCAACACCGCTCATGGGTTGCCCTCGTTTCTGCACGCGATGGGCATAAATGATAAAACTTTCCATGACTTTTGGGCAACCCACCGACTTTTCCAGCCCTTGTGCTGTGAGTTGAAACTTGAGAGTAGGTAGGTATGCTCCAGAGATCATGCGAGCACAAAAGAATTATATTCTCCGAAGTGATCGATGTCTCCATTCACCCAACGATCCAATTCTTTGATTCCGATTCTTAAAGTATCTCGTCCCATGCTTATCCAATCAGCTGTGTAAATTCAATGATATTGGATCGCTTCACTCTTTATAAATTCATTAATCATCCCAACAAAAGTGCCTCAACCCTCAAAGAACAGATATCATTCATCGTTCATCATTCATTCAACTCTCGGCCCCACCTCTCCCTTCTAGCACCTCCTGCCTCTTCCCATACAATACGAACAAACGATGCACTTAGGCGCCGGAAACATTCAGATGCGCAGATTTAATCTCCAGAATATTGCTGAGATAATACGGATGGATACCTCGACATCCAGGCCAGGATGGCTAAGTACTTGCAGGCGACGTACATATCTATGTAGTATCGACAACGGACCCCAAGTCTCGAGATGCAGCCCTGAATATTCCTAGGTAGCTATGCACAACTGTAATCCGTATGGATATACTTCGTAAAGTAGCACATTACGATATGTCACACCGGTTTGTCATTTATTCTTGAGATGAGATGCTCGTGCTGCGTATACTTTGCTGCTAAGTTAACAATGGTTGTACTCTGTCTGTATCGATGGATACCTATTCTCAAAGGCAACGGTTTTCAACAGTTTCTAAAACATCCCTTACATCTCAACGCGACCGTTTCGACAAATTGCAACCTCCATGAAAACTAACCACATTTAATCACCATCAAAAGTAGCATTTCCATATCAAGTTCCCATTCATCTGCATCCGTAGTAGTCTCTACGAAGTACATAGGAGAAAAAATAGTCCAAAACTAATCACCCCAATAAATTCTATCAATAATAAAATAATAAAATTTGATAACATTAAACATTAAACAATAAATCCATAAATAATCTTCAATTATAAAATCATTTAAACATTTAATTCTCCGAATTGGAATGGAACAATTGGATTGTTGAAGGGCTTTGCCAGTGATCAATTCCGTCCTGTCTTTTCTCCCACGTAGAGGTAGTACACAATACCTTCAGCTACCCACAACCTCCATCTCTCCCATTCCCATTGCACCTCCCCTCCTCAATACATCAATCCTCCATCCCCATCCCCATCCTTCCACCCATCCTTCCAGAACATTACACCACCTCCAACCTCCAACCTCCAACCACCCATCCATCGCCATTCCACCAACCACCCATCCCAAGGATTTCCCCTACTTCCAGCACCAACCTTAGTAAGGAACATCATCCGAGCCCCTAGGTCCAAGCTCTCGTGGCGTGTTCGTGAAACAATTTCCCGTGACTCGTGAGCGTAGTGTAAGTATACCTGTAGTGTATATAGTGTAGTATAGGTAGTATAGTACAGTATAGCTTAATGATTGTCCACTCGCCACCAACTAATATAGATAACCAAGTACGACTGACTACTAGGTAGGTAACTAACACGAAAGATATTGCTATGGAAATTGGAAACATCCATAGCTTAGCATGGCTATTAATAGGTACGCATCTACGTATAATCTCCAAAACTGTAATTAGGATGTGAATACACAGAAATCTTAGATTTGTCTACCTACGTATGGAATCTCGCGCGGGCAGCGAGGCAGCCCACCAAGAAACTTCCAGAGTTGAGATGTATGAAATCGAAATTTTTCCGTCTATACATCGAGTACCTAATTAGAAAATTATAATATCAAATAGCCTTTCTGTTTTTTCTATCCTACATACATAAATGAAGCTTGAAGGTCAAAATATCAAACTTCCTTCATACATTTGAAATCCTTGTTTCTCATGAGCTCATGTCCTCACCCCTCCCTCTCACCTCCTTTCGCTTCGCTTACTCACGCCCTCTCAATTCCCATTGCATTGACATCTCTAGCGGTATCTCTTTATCAAAATTTCACAATGTGGGAATTGACCAGCCGGTCCACGGGTATGTATGATTTTCTCCAATAGTGAAAGTCTAGCGAGCTCTCATGGTGCTTTTGAGAAGTCAAACATCAAAGTTCTAAGGTTCCAATCACAACTCTACTCAAACATTCGGATGCAATGTACACATAGAATCAAAAATGGATCAAAAATCAGATGCTCTATCATTCATTCATTTAATGCTTTACTCAAACGCAAACCTGCTACCTCTGCTATCAATAGCATACATTCTTCACAACTTTTCCCTCCAACTTAATTCTCCCAATCAACCACAGGCTATTGCTCTAAGGCTTGCAGCGTCCCATAAATCTTGGGTACAAACAGCATGTGCGGACTGAATGTTGTTTACAGATCCAAGCGATGAATCTCTCAAGACCTAATCCGTAACCACCGTGAGGAGATGTACCATACCTGTTTACTGTTAGTTGATTTGTGCATACAAAGTTTAAAGAAACACAATCAGGGGTTAGGTGTGATTGCAGAGGTAGAAAGAAGGGGGGTAACGTACTTTCTCTGTTCAGTGTACCAGTAGTACTCCTTAGGACTAATGCCCTCACGTTCATATGCAGCCATCAATTCTTCATAACCTTCCATTCTCATACTGCCACCAACAATCTCACCAACACCTGGCATCAAAACATCCACACTCTCTGTAACTCTTGGATCTTGAGGATCTTTCTTCATGTAGAAGGCTTTAATTTCGACTGGGAAATGTGTGAGAAGGATGGGCAAGTTAATGATATCTGTCATCTTTCTCTCGGCAGCCTCAGCAATATCATCACCGAAGACATGTGGGTTGCCCTCTTCGTTGAGAATAGGGGGATCTTGGGCGTTGAGCCAGTCAATGGCATCCGAGTAGCGCATGCGCTTGAATGGACGGGCTGGAGCTTGGAATTCTGGGTTGAGTTCCTTGATATAACCGGCGATCTCTGGGTCGGCCATAATGGTACTAATGACGGTGCTGATCATCTCCTCCAAGTGATCTAGAAGATCATCAAAATCAATGAAATCCAATTCAGCTTCAACGTGGGTATATTCGGACAAATGACGACGAGTCAGGGATTTCTCTGCACGGAAAGATTTTTCGATACAGTAAACGTTGCCGAGACTTGGAATACCAGTTTCGAGGTAAAGTTGAGATGATTGAGTAAGATAGGTCTTCTCTCCGTAGTAATCCAATTCAAACAGAGTAGAACCACCCTCAACTTGTGTTTGAACGAAAGCAGGTGGACTAATCTTGGTGAAGTACATCTCCTTGTATGCCTTTGCGAAAGCCCATTCGACTGCAGAACGAACCTTCATCACTGAAGAAGCGGTATCTCCACGGAGGACAAGGTGACGGTTGTCCAACATAGAGGACTCCCATTGATCTTGTTGATGAGAGATCTTGTTGGTGATAGCATCGGCGTCGGATGGGGATCTGCCAATGACTTTGTAGTAATCGACAATCAATTCTCGGTCATCTGGAGCCGATTGACCAGCCATGACCTTTCGCATCTCTCCGTAGAGAGTAAGAGAAGTACCTTGTGCAAAAGTGAGAGCATCGTATGTCTTGGTAAGATCGCCTTGCAAGATACATTGCAAATGCCCATATCCATCAACCAATGTAATGAAAGTGGCTTGCTTTTGCTCTCTCAATCTGTGAATGCGACCTGAAACCTTAACACGGGTACCCTTCTTTTCGCCCTCGCCCAATTCAATATCTTTGCGCATAATCTTGATCTTGACTGCTGGTGGTAATGAGGAGTCTTCGGTAAGGACAATCTTTTTCGAGTCTTCGAGTGTCTTGAGTCTTGCATCATCTTTCTCCTTCTCTGCGGCAGCCATCTGTTGTTGCTTCACAAGCTTCTTCTTGTGTGCATCCAAGGCATTTTGTGCCTTCTTAATGGCAGCCTTGGCTGGATCTTTCCATACCAATCGCTCTGCTGGATCACCATCTGCGCTCACGGCACCAGTTGTTGAGGCTCTTGATTGATATTTTCCTCCCTCGCTACCACCGTGTTGAATATAGGCGTATGCTAAAGACTTGTATGGTTTGCTTTCGGCACCAGTGGCTGATTGATCATCTTGACCAACATCGGTATCGATATAGATTGTATCCGTCTTCAGAGTTCTATCTGCGAGTTCTTGAAGTGCAGCCATGGTTATCGCGTTTGGGTGTTCAAAATTGTTTTGAAAGTTTACGAGAGGAGGGGAACTTATTATTTGGTGGGGGAATTTATGCTTCTAAATAATTATTGGAGTCATCAAAACAATCCAATTGGTGAGTCAGAAGGGGAACTGATAAGAGATCAAGGTGAGGGTCACACCGCACATCAAGAAACAAAAACACTCTGTTTTTAAAATTCTTTATCAAATTGATCAATCATTATTTTCAATTGAAACAGGTGTGAAGCGCTTCATTGTGCACTCATCTAATCTATGAGAAGCTCTAGTCTCTATTCGATCCATCGCCGATAGTATGATCGAATTCCAAAGTATGAGTAGTTTTACACATTCCTTCGGTACTCTCACTACATATCATATCATATCGTAGGTGCTTGTGATATCAATACTCGAGTCGGCCGCTTGAAGAGCCGACTTTTATTAGTGAACGGAAGCTAACGGAACTGACCGACCGACCGACCGATGTGATCAGGAACCAATTTACGCGGTAAAGCTTAACTACCTGGCGGAAACGCGTAGTTTGATTTTCAATGACGCGACTGGAGCCTACCAGGTAGAATTTATTTCTATACTATCTATCTATCTACCTAGGTATTTATGTCAATGGAAAAGTCTTAATGTTTGAACGAAAGACCTGAAAATGACAATAACATAATTGATTCAATCTCTAACATCATACTAAGTATAATTTACAACTAATATCATACTCTTTCAAATAAAGTCGACGCTACAGAGTTGTCAATACTTGAGCGTAATTGGTCAAGATAATTCAATTCCCCTGCTGCATAACCCGCCATTGTGGCTTCACGCAAACTTCTTATTCCTGTAGTGGGCAACTTCCATACGTTCCTACCAATCCGAACGTTTTGCGCAATGCCTCCAAAGCAGGCGACATTGGGGTATGTTAAAGATTCACAAACTACGTTGGGGTTCGTTCCTGTCTAGTATGTAGATGCGATGATGCTAATGGCTATTCAATTGAAGCAAGTTTTTTGGCCAACCAAAAGGCGCGCCTCCAAAACAATCGAAGCTATCTTTCTCTTCCAAGTCAAGCGCAAGCAAGCCGCCAGCAAGCTCGTCATCCGCCTCGGAAGCCTCAGAAGAGAATAAAGATGTTGAGATGAAGGATGGGGATTCCGATGTAGGAAATGAAGATTTGACCAAGAAGGAAGAGGGATCTGATGTCAAGGGAAAAGTAAAAAAGGAAGATGTGAAGGTAGAGAAAGGTAGGTCTAGGCAAGGTAGTGGCGCACTTCCTCTAAGAGGCTAATTAGTTCTGGAAATACAGGTGTGAAGAGATCAAGATCCGCCAGTCCGAAACTCTCAGCCAAGACCAAAGCTATAAAAATTGAGGATGAAGTCAAGGAGGAAGAAGAGGAAGAGGATGAAGATGAAGAGCCTATTGTGAAGAAGCCTCGAAGAGCTCAAAATGCCGAAGCAAGAGAGAAGAAGCCCTCGCCAAAACCCGCTAGCACAAAATCCAAGACCAAACCTGAGCCAGAATCATCAACGAAAAAAGCCTCTTCGAAGAACATGTCACCGCCACCAAAGCGTGGTAAGAATGCCAAAGTGGTAGTGGAAGAGGATGAAGACGAAGTGGAAGCAGCAGCACCGTCACCAAAACCAGCAAAGCGCCGAGACTCGAATGTATCAAAATCAGCATCAGAATCAGAAATCGAGGAGGATTTAGAATCTAGTGGAGATGAGAAACCAGAAGTAGCTGCTAAAGCTAGGGAGAAGATACAAACAACCTTGAAATCTAAGGGTAAGGACCCATATCCGGATTGGAGACCAGGAGAGCCAGTACCTTATGCAGCTCTTTGTACAACATTTTCTTTGGTAGAGATGACCACCAAGCGATTAGCTATTGCGGCTCATTGTTCCCTGTTCCTTCGTCAAGTCCTTCGACTCACTCCAGACGATCTTTTGCCTACGGTTCTTCTCATGATCAACAAATTGGCTGCAGATTATGCTGGAATTGAGTTGGGTATTGGTGAATCATTGATCATGAAGGCCATTGGGGAGTCTACTGGACGAAATCTGAGCGTCATCAAGAATGATCAGAAAGAGATTGGTGATCTTGGACTTGTAGCAGTCAAGAGTCGATCAAACCAGCCTGTAATGTTCAAGCCAAAGCCATTGACAATTAGAGGCGTTCTGAAGAGTTTGATCGACATTGCTACAATGCAAGGCAACGGTGCTCAGGGACGAAAAGTTGACGGAATCAAGAAGTTGCTTTCCGCAGCTGACGCGCATTCGTCGGGCAAAGTTGACATTACAAAAGACAAGGGTGGAGCAAGCGAAGCAAAATACATTGTTCGTTTCCTAGAGGGTAAGCTTCGCCTCGGATTGGCAGAAAAGACCGTTCTCGTTTCTTTGGCTCAAGCAATGGTATGTCATGAAATTGAAGCGAAAGGTTCCGGAAAGGTTCCAAGCACAGAACAGATGGCAAAGGGAGAGTCAATATTGAAAGCAGTTCACAGGTATGTTATGTTTCCTCAGATCTTGAGTGACTATTAACCAAAGATAGCTCCCTTCCTAGTTATGATGTGATTATTCCAGCAATGTTGGAGCACGGTATCTTCAATCTAAAAGACAACTGCAAGCTCCAACCCGGTGTACCGTTGAAGCCTATGTTGGCCAAACCAACAAAAGCAATCACAGAAGTCTTGGATCGATTTGAAAATCAAACCTTCACTTGCGAGTATAAATATGATGGAGAGAGAGCTCAGATACATTACGTTTCTAAGGATTCTCCCAAACAATATCTTGGTGCTACGCCCGCTGCTGCCAAACCATCTGCTGGAGGTCTCGCTGCTATATTCTCGCGAAACTCAGAAGATCTGTCCAAGAAATACCCAGATATTCTTGGCAAACTGAACACATGGGTTAAGGAAGATACCAAGAGCTTTGTACTCGATTGCGAAACCGTTGCTTGGGATATGGTTGAAAAGAAAGTCTTGCCTTTCCAACAACTCATGACACGAAAGAAGAAGGATGTCAAGGTCGAAGATGTTAAAGTCAAAGTTTGTGTATTCGCATTCGATCTGCTTTTCTTGAATGGTGAAGCTGTTGTTGAGAAATCATTACGAGAACGTCGTGCACTTCTCCATGAAGCTTTCCAACCTGTCGAAGGCGAATTTCAATTTGCTACTAGTATGAATTGTCAAGAAATTGACGAGATTCAAACATTCTTAGATGATAGTGTCAAGGCATCGTGCGAAGGGTTGATGGTAAAGATGTTGGATGGTACGGAAAGTGGTTATGAGCCCAGTAAGCGAAGTAGGAATTGGCTTAAGGTATATACTCTCATCCCAATGTATTTCCTCAATCATACTAATGTTCGTCTCAGATCAAAAAGGATTATCTCTCAGGTATTGGCGACTCTCTCGATCTCGTCGTTCTAGGAGCCTACTATGGTCGTGGAAAACGTACCTCCGTCTACGGCGCCTTCCTGCTCGCCTGTCACAACCCCCAAACTGACACCTACGAAACTATCTGCAACATCGGCACTGGCTTTAGCGAACAAGTTCTCGAAGAACTCCACGCCCAACTCTCTGCTATAGTCATCGACCGTCCTAAGCCATTCTACTCCCATTCCTCGGGAAATCAACATCAACCTGATGTTTGGTTTGAGCCCAAATATGTCTGGGAAGTCAAGACGGCTGATTTGACATTGAGTCCGAGATATAAGGCAGGCTGTAAGGAGGGTGTTGACAAAGGGGGAGAAAAGGGTATTTCATTGAGATTTCCGAGATTTATCAAGATTAGAGATGATAAGAAACCGGATATGGCGACGAGTAGTAGACAGGTGGCGGAGATGTACAGGAAACAGGAGAGTGTTACGAAGAGTACGGGCCCAAGTGTTGATGATGATTTTGAGTATTGAATCACGGGACGAAGAGGTTTGAGGTGAAATGTCGGTTGCTTTGTCGTGCTTATAAAACAGAAACCTCACAGGCGCTTGTGGATTTGGGGATAATTGCATGAGAGCTTGTTGGTGTCAAGGGTGGGGATATAGTTGCATTGTATGAGATGAGATGAAATGTTACAATATGGCCATAGTTACACGAGGAGATGCCTGGAAGACTACAACGCCGGATGGCTAAGTAGTAATTACACATAGTTTCCAATCTCGACGGGCTTTGAGCTTGCATAATATCCAGCTTCCAACTTTTTATTCATCCATAGGCATTCGTTTCACAAGTCTCGTCTCCTTGTCTAGTAGAATATTTGCTGTTGCTCAGTCTTTTTGGAAATTTGTAGTAAGATACATTTGAATGTCACCGGTCGACCTTAACAATAGAAACTATCACTCAAGAGGCACATCCACTCTTCGTTGCTACGACGCATGCACTGCTTCCTGGTCCTTTATCCATCAGAAACCTTTGAACATCACCAAACACTAATAATATACAATATTTGGATTATCATTGAAAAGAAAAGCCTTTACTCAATTAATGTACTAAAAAACTATTATACAACCAATTCATGCTAGTGATCCTGCTGTGCGTGCGTATGTTATCATATTTCGTATCAATATTTCTCCGCCCGCTTCTCCCTTGAAATCCATTCACTGACATATTATGCATCCCAAATAAACTTGTATCAAATTGTATCAAATCAGACCAACATTCAGAGCCAGGATGAGATCCTATTCCTGTCCACCATTCCCTGCCTTTCCTACTCTCTTGATTTCTCCTCCCAATCCCTCAATTTTCTCACCTAATTGCTCACCTGCATTTCCAAGCAAATGACCTGCTTCCTTGTTCGCGTATTCGGTAGTCGATGTTGTCTTTTCTGTAACATTGTTTCCCATGGCAGCTGCTTTGCCGCCTGCTTCCTTTGCTGTTGGGACACTATCATTCGTCTTTTCCCCGAGATTTTTAGCACCATTGAATACTTTATCCGAGACGTCCTTTGCGGATTGTGCGATAGTGGAAGTGGAATTTTGGGCTGTAGATGCGAGACTCGAACCATTCTCACGAGCAGATTGAAGCGTATTCTCGCCCACTGTTTTGAGACTGTGTAAGGCATTCTCACCTCCCTCCCTGACTTTTTCTCTCGCATCATTGATAATTGCTTTTGGCGAGGGACTGCGTTTCAAAAATCGTAGAACCATGAAATAAAGTGAGAGAATGAGTTCATGTACACGATCTTTCACAATCATTGTTAATCCATGGCCTAGAAACCCTTTGATAATCTCTCCTCCGATACCCTCGTACAGTCCTCCTATACCTTCTTCCTTGTAGATCTTGAGTATGGAATGAATGATTGTGTTTTTTCTTGCTTGCTTGGAAACATCTTTGAGATGTTTCTGTGCTTCTTGGGCAGATTTCTTGGATCCATTCTTCGTTGCATCTTTCACATTGTCTGAGAGCTTCTCAACAGTTTCTTTTTTAACTGGAGAAGAAGATCCGTCGACTTGTGCTCGAGCCTTAGCTAGACTCACGGGATATGTAATGCTACTTGCAATCGCCTTACTAACCGCCGCCAATAAAAATGTTATTCGTGCCCCTGGATCATCGCGTTTATCTCTCGGGATAATAACACGTTTGAGAAACTCATAGAGAAAGAATGTGATACTCGGATTGAGAGTAAGGATTAAAGATGCACTGTAACCAGACCAGAGACCAGTAATGCCTTTTTTCTCTCTTATGTCCGATATGATTGAAGAGATTGTTGGAGATTTTGAGTCAGAGGAAGCAGTCATCGAATGAGTTTGCTTTCGCACGACAATGTTTGACAATGGTGTGGTGAAAAACTTTGATAACCCGCCAGCTAATGCGCCGACGCCCAATTCTTCGAGTGCTGGAAGAGTAGCTTTGGAGGGTGAGTGATGAGATTGTAATCTTTTTGAACGAATGTATCCATAAAAGAGGAAAAATAGGAATGAATCTGCAATGGATTTGGATGTGTCTTGTAAGACTCCACTGTAAAATCCGGTGATCCCTCCTTCTTCATTGTAAATCTTATCAAAGGCGTCGGCGACTGATGTATATTTCTGTGGCTGTTTTGAGGTAGGAGAGGAGGAATTTGCGAGAGTTCTTTGCACTTGAAGACGTGTTATGATGAGGTCAAGGGGATAGATGCAGAGGTTTGAGATGGCGGTCCCAGTCGCGCCGCTTATGGCATGGCCGAGTGCTGGAAGAGCTGTTGAGGTCGCGGAGGATGATGAGGAATCCTGATATTGATGATATTGTGTGAATGCATCCTAGTACATTGTTAGTATTGGCAGATAAAAAAAACCCCAACACTTCGGACTGGCAGACTGGAGCTCTCAACGTTTGGGCGTAGTATAACATCCAAAGTGAATACAGTCTCTCAAATCATCTCATTTGTCCTCTTGAAGTCAAGAATGGCAAGTTTTTGATTGTTGATCTGCAACTCGGACAGATGGAAGCTCTGTGTGATGAGAGATAGACGAGAAAAAGGGAGGGTACAATACAAGCTGACTGTTGTAAACGTTTGCCATGGCTGTCCTTTCTGACCAAGGTGCTTTGTACCTTGCAGTCTTTCTGATGTGATCGTTGCTGTCGCGAAAAATTGAGATATTTGTAAAGGCGTAAATTTATTGTATTCAGTGTGGAACATGAGAACTGAGGGGAAATTTGTTGAAGTTCATATACCAAAACTCTCGGACATGTGAAATGTACCTACCATTTACGTCATCCTGAAAGTATAAACAAAAGGGGGAAACAGGGTTTCCCCAGATTATGCTTATGTAATCAACACGTCCTTGACGTCGACGCGCGCCACACCAATCATAGTCGACTTTTTGAAACGGGAGATGATTAGATACTAGGTAGCCACCTGACCTTGTACAGATTGACGGTAATAATATCAAGTATCCAGTGATACTTGATGTCTTGATTGATCATTCAGTCTAGTTGCTCGATTTCCTGAAGATCTTAGGAGCATTGAGTGATGTCTTCTAACAACGTTTTATCGGAGATTGACTTATTAGCATCAGATGGGCTATTTTCGCCTTAGATGACGGATGCTGTATTCAATAAAAAGAATGAAGATTGTCACTCTAGGCCTCTTTCCCCTTGTATTACATCTAAATCTCTCTGTCCTTCCGGTGGAGAGATTGGCTGGCATCACTTCAGACTTCACTAATACTTTGGATAATATTAGACAGTATTGGACAATCATTATTCCATACCTAGTACATTCTGAATTATAACAGGCTTAATATAGGTTCGCTATTCAACGCCAATGTACTCGCCGATCATTTATCTCCACCTCGGAGTCATTTCGAGTCTACCAGCCCCATCGGTTTCCCTTTTCTATCCACACTCTCTTCCTCCCCTCACCTTTTCACATATCTATTCCTCAACCCCATACCGCTTCCCCCTTTCTTCATTTCCTCTACCTTTAGTTCTTCCGCAGCCTTCTCTTCTTCCCTTTGTCTCTTTGTAATTGCTTTCTGCCTTCTCTCCTCTCCACTAAATGGCCTCACCACAACCCTGACTGCATAAACCTGACCCTCCTCATTTTTGACGAGATTGAACGGCCTCAAATGACAACGTCGAAGCTGCTCAAGCATTATTTGTGCTTTGGCTAGTTCAGTTTCGATGAGTCGTAGTTCGTTATGCTTTGCTAACATTAAGTGGGAAAACTCAAGCTCGATTTGATCGTGGATGTTTGTGGTGGTGGTTTGGAGAGCGGTATGCCGTGGGCTTTCGAATATCCTACTTGGAGTCATTGATTGACTTGACTTTGGAGCGATTCGAATCGATGCTGCGGCTTGAGAGGGTCTGATAAGCGGACGGGGAGATGGCATCTCACCTCTGTTCTGACTTTCAGATTCTACTGGAACCATTATTGACTCTTGAATGTCTGGCGCATCATTCATCTCCACATCCTCAGAGTTGAACTGAAAAGCGTGAGTAACAAAAGATTGACCAGAATTTGATGGATTTTGGAGATGTGTATACGGATGTTGAAGAGGTCCCAGTCTTGAAGGTCGTCCCTGTGGAGACGACGATGTCAGTGGCATCTCAAGACGGCTCAAAAGATTGAAGTTAAGATTGGCCTGATCTATGAAAAGCTTTTGTGCTCTTCCCTCGAGAGCAACTAGATTTGGACCAAAATTCTTAAGCTCTTTGATCTTGGCTTCTGCTCTCGAAAGACGCTTCCTCGGGTGATCTTTGTTCTCGGCAAAGTTATTGCTAGAAGAAATTCTCGAAGAGTTGCTTCTGTGTGACTGATAACATGGGATGGAAGGCAGTGCACGCGTTTCTTCTGTGCCCTGACTGGTATGTGTATTGTGACGATAGTAACGAGAACTATCTGATTTCGTTGGAAGGACAGATCTTCCGAATTCGGCAACTTGGCGAAGATCTTTCATTATGAGCAATGAAAGCGAATTTTTTTGTTAAATGTCGCTTTTGAAGTGGTTGTTGTGCTTGCAAATAATTGTCCACGATCTAACTTAAGAGGTTATTGTTTGTGGTTGGAAATTGACAATCTCACTTTGTAAAAATATGATTGGAATCTGTAAAGATACGGCTCGGAGGACATGGTCTTAGCGTGGACAAATCAATAACAACTGTAAATAAAACTAGTCATTCTCGAGAGAAAAATTGTCAACAAGCGTGGTACATTGGAAAAGTGAATTGTTCTCGTTCACATGGAAAGCACAGTCAGTATACCAGATGATACTTCTTACAACCTCACGAAAATTGAGGCTATCAAACTCTTGCTCATTTTCTAAGAGATGAAGGTCTCAAAAATTCAGAAAAATCGAAAGATCAGGTGGGATGGGGTTTTACTGAAGTTCATGTGTCTTTCAAGCTTCAAATTTCAAATTCATAAGTAGCCACAAAGAATTTTTTATGCCTGATAAAGTGCTAAAATAATCAAGGACAAAAGCCATGACAGCTTAGGATCAACGAGATTATCAAACGGTCTCTAAGATGCTGACCAATGTTCAAATTTCTCCTTGCCAGTCGATCTTCCAACGCATCACAGATTTCAGCTTGTCACCCCCTAAAACTAATGAGGACGAAGTCATTTGCTATGCTTGAGAGATTCGGGCTTTTAACCACGATGGTGGCTAAAGAATTGAAGCACTGCTATTCCATCTCGGTCCAAGTCAAGAACAGATACAGTTGAGACAAACTTGGTCGCCTCCACGTCCACCGTGGACGCCAGACTTCACCACACGCTCAATCATTTGTTGTGGATTGCCAGGAACATTCGACTTCTTTGCCACAATACAATACAATGGTTTCAATGATGCTTGGACAATTATGTGGGAACTTCAGGAGCGAAGTCAACTGATATTCACGATTGATCTGTTCCTTTTGAGCTGAAGAGGGAAGAGGTTATACGATATTTGAGGAAGTGGGGACACAAAGATCAGGAGGAATTGGGAGTCGTCGTACAAAAGTCTAAAGTAAATAATTAATCTGAACAAATCACCATCGAGAGGCTATACAGCTGATAAGATCTTGAAGAAAGATTAGGGATGGAATCCTCATCAGCTCGTTGTAAGTTGTCGTTGCACGTTACCTATCTGGCTGGTACAAGCCGTAACGAGCTTAGCGTGGAAAACGGACTAAAGTTTCACCGCGCAGTTGCTCTGTCAGGTGATCATCTTCGAACTTTCGATCTCTTCACCAATGTTCCCGACCACATAATTTTACAGGTCATCCCTCAAGTAAAACTCTAAGTATCAATACATTTAATCGCTCTTTTCCCTCAGACGTAACCGAAATTCAAAGACGCAACTATGTCTCACAGCAAACGTAATACTTCCCGTGCGGTCTTCACCTCCCACGAGCGTGAGTTGGCGAAATCAGCCTGGACAAGCAGTAGTGCTCGTCTATCTCGAGACTCATTTTTACCATTTGCTTCATGTCGGCTATGTCTTTTACCTGCGCGTACTCCTGTCTCGTGTAGTCATGGTGATATATTTTGTCGCGAGTGCGCGTTAAGCAATATCTTGGCGCAGAAGAAGGAAATCAAGAGGCTGGAGAAAAATAAGGAAAAAGACGATCAGGACAAGAATGAAGATCGTATGAGGGAAGAAGATGAGGCGAGAGAGAGGGCTGTAGCGGAATTTGAGAAAGTACAAATGGGACTAGAGGGAAAGACGGGAGGAAAAGGCGGCAGGATTGTAGGGAGAGAAGGCGGAAAGATTATGGTAGAGCAAGAGGTAAATGGTGAAGGTGGGAAGAGGGGAGAGAAGAGAAAATTTGAGTTAGATGAGGATGAACTTTTGAGAATTGCACAGGATGAGAGATCAAAGGCGAGGAGAGCTATTGATGACGAAAAAGTATGATGCTCAATCTGATAATCATGACAATTTACTGACACTACGACAGGCTTCCAAAACAACTTTACCTAGTTTCTGGGTTCCATCTGTCACACCAAGTTCGAACACCAATACCACTCTTCACAATATCGTCAAGAAAGCCAAACAATCACCTGTTTGCCCCGCCTCACAACAAGACAAACCACACAATTACTCACTCCATACCTTAATCACCGTTGCATTCACAGAAGAAACCGATAGCGTCACAAAAAAGCCGCAAAGAATCTGTCCTTCGTGCAAAAAGCAATTGACCAACACTTCCAAAGCCGTACTTGCGAAGCCCTGCGGCCATGTGCTCTGCAAATCATGCGTTACCAAATTCATGACTCCAAGCGGAGTTCACGATCCGCACGCAGAAGCGGGAACAGATCAGAACGCTGTTGCTTGTTATGTCTGCGAGGCAGACTTGACAGAGCGAAATGATGTTAAGGAGAAGGGGAAAAAGGGAGATAGGGAGAAGATCAAGCCGGGATTGGTAGAAATCAAAAGCGAGGGAACAGGATTTGCTAGTGCGGGGGGCAATAAAGTTGTAAAGGAAGACGTTGCTTTTCAATGCTAAGAAAAGTCTGGCTTCATGATGGATTGTATGATAGAGCGCGCGATAGATTGTAATGATTCAAGAAAGATAATTAATATTGTACCATGATTTCTCCCAGCCTTTAGAATATGGGTCTAAAGATACCGCTTACAGTGTCAAGTCAACTTCACAGAAAAGAACTCAGACTTGATAGGCCTTATGCTATGTTATTGGGGATACCTCAATGGCTTTGATGTTCCGGCGCGCTTTGCAAGCACTGTTTGAATGTTTGTCTTGTCAGGATTTTCTTTTATCTTTCCCTCTCACTTCCTACTCTCTTATATTAGCTTTTCTATTTACCGGGCAAGGGACGGGATATTCCCCCTCACTCCAGACCCCGCTCCAAACTATACACCAACGAGACTCTGTATTGCATGTCACTACAACCTAACTCAACGACTTAGCATAGAAAGTACATAACTCACGATACACAACCCCCAAAGCCACAATAGCTTTCTTACAGGCCCCAAAACTTCCACTGATCACATGTAATCTTACTATACAGAAAATCCAACCACTAAACAACGCGTACATTCAATCATCCCCAAGCCCACTATGAATCAGCGCACTCATAGAAAGAGAGCTCTGTACCGTCATCGATAATATTAATGAAATAGCCTTCGACTTTTATAGAAAAAGCAATATGTGCGAATTGAATTGAGTTTTGATACTCCCTTTGATACTCGTACACATGTACATAATAGATAATCTCCTACGACCATTCTTTATGTATCTTTCATTGTGAATTTCAGTTGATCATTTGATCGTGCTGGTATAGAGACCTTTATGTTTTCTGCAGAGAAAAGAAAGTAGATTTAATCGTGAATTAATAAACTATGATATATTCCCTCTTGGACATACCACTATATCTCCGAACCACGAGCAAATTTCCACCAAGAACTAACAATTCGATAGAGGTGCAGAATCATTAGGATTATCCACAAAATCATCAGATACATAGCAACCATCATCAAATCCCACAATCTCAATCCGATTCGTAATCATAACATGAATCTTGATCTTTCCTCAACGTCATCTATTATTGTGCATCTCATTTCTCTCTCAATTCCCCCCTCTTTCCCCTTCCTATACTGTGTTAACTACTAGGTATTCACATTTCCCTATTGAAATTCAACGCTCCATATCCATAATCTGATTTCAATAACTTACTCTATCCCCCCCCCTCTTCCCCCTTCTTCCCCAATTTCCCATCTCTCTCAATCCACTGAACCAACAACCACCCTCCCTTATCATCAAAACCCAACGACCTCAACACTCAACACCGATCCTCACTACCAGCAACAACATATCCATATCCAATACCATCCTCCAAATACCTCATGCAATTTCCACTACATCAGCAGAAGCACTCAGGTAGTCTATCGTTCCGATGCTCACCACTCATTTCACCTCGTCACATCATGAATCATGATTGATACCCCCCGCTCCTACGAAAGATATCCATCCATCCATCCCCTTTCCCCTCTCAACCAAGTAAACGTATCGATATTTTCATACATAACATACTATAATATAAACACGAGGCATACATCTACACTGATAGAAAAAAAATCCTCATTCTTCATTCCTCCTTCCTCATTCCAAGTTCCAACCTATAGAGTCGAATCAAAGCATACAATATATATGATCCCATAGCGCCGACTCATCCATCTCCTCTTCCCCACTTGAAAGAATTGAAAGATCGGTTTACGTACGAAGAAACCAGAGTATTCCTCGTACGAAGATTTTGATAATTCAGTAAAGGTTATGATATCCATGTACTATGTAATCGAATACAATTCAAAGAGTCAAAAATACTTCCTGATGATTTCACACCGTGGTTTCTGTACGCAGTAGATGAATGATTGGAAAAAGAGAGCACATGTATATATCAAAAACACTTACTTCGAATTCACTCACTAGCCAGGTCTACTCAACATGAGATGAGATGAGATTCAAAACTCACTATTCACATAAAGAGCAAAGAAATGTATCACGAGTCTCAAGGTATTTATTTATCAAGACATATTCTCAGCAATCATCCATTCCGTAATATAAGAGTACTACTGTACCGCACGCACAGCTACTCTGGAAAGAAAAAGGAAGTCTTCACCCTTTTCCATTTACACCGAAGAATACCCGTTATTTGCATTCACACTGCACAGTGTTTCTTCCAAATTTATTCTCGCAACCGAGTCAACCTACAACCTACCCCGCGATGGCAACGCACTCGAGCTCTCACCGCATTTATGAGCACCATCGCGTACTTCGCATATGCAATATATTTCTGTCGAGTAGATTTGATTTGATTTGATTTGATTTGCTTAGGTAGTTGAATCGTGTAGCCCGTGCAAATTGTAGTGGGTATTCTCCTGAGTGCTGGATCCTGATTCCTGAAGTCGAAACTTCCTCTTTCTAATCGAGCCAATCGAGGCCATACAATGTCAAAAAG